GACTGCACTGGTGCAAATCCAAGGTCATGCAAAATCAACTGGAACGCGGTTGGTACCCCAAGGAAGGTCGTTCCAAACGGGGAAGGGAGGCGGGGCCTCCACATCATCGTGATCCACTCGAGCCAGGAGCCTAATTCCTAGGCGCAAACCCCAACCAAACAACAGGGGAGCCCCCAAAACCCCGGAAAGCCCATCCCGAAACGGGGGAAAAGGGGGGGGGGGGACCCAGGGAGCCGCCCCGGAAAGGGAAGAACCAAACAAGGGAGGGGAGCCAAGGCGCACCCCGGACCAGCCCAAGCGCGCCAATTTTTCTCGCCTGGTACAGGTCTAGGCCTGTGCTGTGCCCAGGGGGGGATATCAGCGCCCTCGGCAGCTGTCCCCCCCGGGGTGCGCTGCGAATCCGTTCCGGATGGCCGCAGTGCTGTATGATCATACGGCCCCCTTTGCAATGTCGTCAATGCGCTTGAGCGCCGCCGCCTCCGGATTCCGGAGAATCAGCTCCCAGATGGCGTTTGAAACATGGCCGGTCTGGGTGATGTGGCTGAACCTAAACCGGGGGACTTTCTGGTCCACCACGGAGACATCCCGCAGCGGGGCAGAGGGCTCTACCCGGCGGTAGAACTCCAACCGCTCCTTGACCCAGCGGTTGTACAGGCCATCCGGCGGCTCGTCCAGCACCAGCTGAAGGATGGCCTTGCCGGCCCGGATCTGGAGGAGGCGGGTGCCCCCTCCCCCGGCGCGCCAGTACCCCTTGCAGTACTTGCACATGTAGCCCCCCCGGGTCTCCCCTTTTGTCTTCGGGATGAGTTCCCACGGGGTGACGGAGCTCAGGACCAGGCCACACTCCATGTGCGCCCAGAAGACATGCTTCGTCTCCGCCGGATAGTTCTTCTTCCGGTAGTCCTTGCCCACCACGCCGTGGACGTTGTCCGATGTGATGGGGGGGTAAACGATCCCCTCATCGCCCTCTCCTCCCCTGGGGCGGATGTCAGGGCCATCGGCACCTGTCCGGCACCCAGGGGCGGAGGGGTCAAGGCCCATCAGCTTGATCATGTCGTTGGTGTAGCCGAGCTTGCGGTAGATGGAGGGGGCTACTGAGTCGGGGACTGCGCCGACCCACCACTGCTTCGTGTTGCAGCGCCAGTTGACCTTCACCTCCGCCAGGGCCCCCGGGCCTCCAATGCGGTCCATGAGGGCCTTGTACACCTCTGGGAACTGCTGGAGACTCTCCACCGGGACAGATATGCGCTCATCACATACCGCCCGGAGGATCATCTGTTCCTTGGAGTCCGCCACGTCCTGGACCGGGAGCTGCATCACCTCCGCCGGGGTGTCCGTGAGGAAGGCCCGGGCCGCGAGGACCTTGCCCATGGCCCGGTAGACCAATCGCCACTCCGGTCCTGTCTGCGGAAACGGAAGGCCCTCCTCCTTCAGGAAGCACCGCGCGTCTTCCTTCAGGGTCTCCCAGCCCTCCAGGCGGATCTGATTCTGGGCCTTGTTCTTCGGGCCCCGCTGCCTAGGGCCCTGAAGCAGTGGCAGGGACTCCCAGACTCAGAGCTGGCGCAGGGTGAAGCTGTGACCAAACATCCCCAGTAAGCCTGGAAGTGTCCAGGACGAGATCTGGCGCGCCCAGTGGAAGTCCTCATCCGGATCGTGGGGGGCCGCCCAGAAGATGGAACGCAGGTCCTCGGGGTAGGGTCGGTCCCCCGCCTTAGCCTGCTGGTTCAACTCATCAACGGAGTACCTGGCCCATGGGAGTCCACCCACCTGGTGGTTCCTGGGATGCGTACCCCTCTCCAGCGCCTCCGGATTCACCTTGGTGAGGTTGTTGGCCCAGTCCGGGACGTGTACGGGGCCCGGTCGTCGGACCCAGCGGCCCGCAAAGATACGGACCTCTCCGACCCGTTTGCTCATCATCCAGCGCAGGACCGCGAGCTGCACCTCCGGGTCCTGGGTATCCAGGCCCCCTGGGGTGGCAGACGGCTTGTCAGGGCCCTCGGCACCTGAGCTCGTCGCGCCAGAGCCCGAGGCTGGGGGGATGGTGGGCTGCCTGTCAGGGCCCTCGGCACCTGGGCGCGCCGCACCAGAGCCCCCCGCCTTTGGAATGGGGATCCCCGCCAGATCCGGCAGATCTGCCAGGAGGGCCGCCGGAAAGGGGTTCCTACCCAGCGAGATGACCGCCTTGGCTTCGAGGTAAGAGTCCGTGAGGGACGTGAGGTCGTCCATGCTGAAATCCCTCCATGCCGTGGTCGGCTCAAAGACCCCCGTCTCAATGGCAACTCGGACCTCGTTAGGCCACGCACTGAATGGAGGCTTGATGGGCTCGAGCATTCTGGTCTCGTGGGCGCCCTTCGCTTGTCTGGCCTGGTGCTTTGCCTTCGCCTCCTCCGCAGTGGTCTGGGCCTGGAGGAGCTCCGGTGTGGGCCTCCCCCAGTCCGCGCCCAGCTTATCCAGCAGTTTTTCGCGGAAAAGGTCCAAGTCCAAATTCTTGAGGAGTAGGCCCCCATCGCCTCCTCCATCAATGGCCCCTCCTTGAAGCTCGTGGAGGACCGCCGCGGATCGCTCCACCGCTGCCACCTGGTCTGCCTTCTTGGCCTCCTCCTGGGCAATGGTGGTGGCGTTGAGCCGGGTCTGGATTTTGAAAGCCTTCACCGCCGACGGGTGGAAGGCCCTGCATTCCTGGCCCTCTTCCTTGTCGCCCGGCAATGGAGGCCTCTCCCCCATTGGGGCCGTCAGGAAATCCTCGTCCAGCTCCATGGGGCAGTTCCTGATCACCGCCCGGACCGAGGAGGGGACAAAGTCCGAGAAGCTGGCCTGGTCCGGGTTCTCGCATGCCATCGGGTCGGTGGCCAGCTCGCTGACATCCACCGAGGCGCTGAGCTTGAGGTCGCGGGCCCGGTCCGTATCAGGGCCATCGGCACCTGCGGACCGGGCCGCCGTCCAGACCGCATTGCCCTGGTCATCCACCGTCAACTGCCAGTGCGTGCCCGCCATCTCCAGGGTGGCCGAGTTGGTCGCCATGTCAATGGGCTCCGTCTTCTTGCCGCACCCCATACACTTCCTGGCGCCCTTCTTCATGGTGCAGCAGGGGCAGATCCAGGATGTGGGCTCCTTACCCAGGGGGCGGTTCTCCAGGCCCCCATACCCCAGGCCAGCGCGCTTGCCGACCTGCTGTCCCGGGGTGCTGAGCCGGGCCTCATGCTCATACTTCATCTTGGCGATGTAGAACGCCTCCACCACACGCTCCAGGCCCCCCTGCTTGAGTTGGGGGCCCTCAAAGCCTCTCAGGAGCCGCTGGACGTCCTTGGCCTGCAGTCGGCGGAGCCTAGTGGCCGTGGTCGCATCAAAACACGGGAAGTCGCCCGCCATCTGGTCCTCGCTGAATTGGTAAAGGCCCTCAGAGACTTTGAGGGCCTTGGTGAAGACGCTTCCCCCCGGCGGGGGGGCTGCGGGGTCCTCATCCTCCTCCGAGGACGCCTGCTCCCTGACCTTCGCCATCAGATCACGGCGTCTCTGCCACTTGGTGTCGGACATCGGGAGCTCCTCCTCGTCTTCCGCCAGGAGTTCCTCCATGGGAACATCCTTCTCCGGCGGGTTTAGGAGCTCCAGGAACGCCCCTGGGGGGCGTGTCAGGGCCTTCGGCACCTGCGCCACCCCAGGGGCTGAGTCTGCCATCAGCTCGTCCTCTGCCTTGCGCTTGGCTGGGATGAGTGGGGCCTGCTCCAGCTCATCGGCGCTGGAGAAGAACCGCTCGTCAGGTGCCTGAGGGACCTCAGCAGCCAAGACGGTCCATCCTTCTTCCTCCTTCTTCACGAGGCTTGCCAGGTACTTCGCCATGGAGGCCTTTGCCTTCGCCTTGGCCTCTGCAACCGCGGCACCAGCGTAGGCGGGGGCGTACATGGCTTTGATAGGAGGGGAAAGAAAGATTTCAGATTACAAGACAGAAGGTCAGAGTCCACTTGAGCCAAAATGGTGGCCCAAGTGGACACTTATGAAGAGTCAAGACAAGCGACCACCTGCGGTTAACGCTTTAGCCCAGGCTTCCCGTTTTAAAGCCCACCACGAAAGGGTAATTACCCTCAAAGGAAGACAGACCATACGGCTAAGAAGGATATGGCTTGTAGGGCCCTGAAACCAGTGTATATCATTGCGTGATTGATGGCGTACAGGGCTCGCTATCTGTGTTCGTTGAACATCACCAAGAGGAAAATCACTGGACATTGGTCCAAAGGGAGATGTTTCAAACCACCCACAGGGGAAACTACTGGGAAGCGGAGTGAAAAGGGCTAGGTGATTCGTGGATTGCAATGATCCCGCTTCAGAAACACAGCCATTAGCTGGGGTAAAACGCACGCATTGAACCAAAGCCGTCTAGGCTGCAGATATGGTCTCCTAAAAGGCTGATAAGCATTGTTGGCACACAACACGGACTGCCTAGCACCTGTCTGCAAAAAAGCACCAACACTGATGGTAAAAGCGCGAATTGTAAGGTCACATAGTATCACACATGCTCACACACACGCACAGGGTAGGCAAGAAGTGCGAAACCCAGAGACGGCGCAGCCCGAACGAGGCTTCTTGCGATCCCTGGTTGATAGCTCATTCAGGAAAGCCGGGCTACTCAGCAAATTCCCGTGTCAAAGGGGCTCAAACCTTTTTTGGGACCAAGACCCCAACCCGCCAAGTCTCCAAATAACGAAATTAACCCCCAATGGTCTTCATGCTTTCTTCGGGTCTCTTAAACCCATTTCACTTTTGAGGCAAACCCCACTCATTAGAGCCCCCAACTCCTCCCGTTCCACCCGTTCTTGGCAGAAAAAAGGCAAACCACAACCCCCACAAAACCCGTATTAAGCCAAATTCACAACTTTACTCCCCAAAAACACCACTGGGTGCACCAAAGAAGTCAAGAGAAAAACACAGGTGCATTCCCCCCCCCTTCCAACCGCCTGCGGCCGGGACCCACACGACTCCTCGATTTTCGTCTCGGGCTCCCAGGCGTTGAGTTGGGCTCCCAGCTGCTGCGGGCTCCGCCTCTTGAGGATCTCCGCGCGCTGTTGGCCCAGCGCCTCTCACTAAACAACCAAGCAACCAACCAAAGGAAGAAAGCAATGAATGAATCGATGAAGTGATGAATGAAACAATAAAACAACAAAACAATGAAACAATGACTCACTCAATCACTCAATTACTCAATCACTCAATCACTCAACCAATGAATCACTCAATCAACCAATCAACCAATCAACCAATCAACCAATCAACCAACCACCGAGGGCAGATGGTTCCTTTCGGCCGGTTTTTGTCCGATCCATTTGGTCCGCCTCTACGGACGCCTTCAGGTTCCGCAGCTCCTGGCCGGCCGCACGGACGTATGAAACCCGCCTTCGGACTGGCCGAATTGGAATGAAACCCCTCCCCAAAAAGGCAGCCGCGAAAAAAACACGTGCGGGTAGATTTTCATATGGGGATTTATAGCCAGAAAACACAGCCTGGAAAAACGTGTTCGTGTATGACTTTCATATGGGGAGTTATAACTATTTGAGAGGGCGCTACAACAAACATAGCCTCCGTGTTGAAGTGACCCCAACATGAAACCGAAGATTCAACAGCGCCCCTGCTTTGACACGTACCCATGCATATGTTGCCTCGAAACATCGCATTTTGCAAGAGGCTTGCTAAAAAAGGCGCGCCTCAGCTTCCGAATTCCTGAAGTGTTGGGTGCAGGAGACTCGCTTTAAACCCTCAAGGTGATGTTCTGAAACACCTAAAAACGGAATCGTAAGAGCCAAACTTATATTTGGGTTTTCAAACACACTCCTCTTTGAGCTTTACTTGGATTTGATCAATAACATGGCTCATGTGGCTTTTTGAGATAACTTGTGAAAAATGAGATTTGGGCGCAAAATCCAATCAGGGACCAATGGGTGGACATCAACGTCTCACTTCATGAGGGGATTGGTCAAACAAAGTCTGAAGCAAACAACTTATCACCAAAATGGTCAAAGTATAAAGTCCAGGAACTCAGGAAGTAAGAAATTCGGTGGGATTCAGGTCCACAATGAAGCCACTTTTGAGTCGAGGTTCCTGAGAGCTCCGCACCTCCGAATTTGCAAGATCCCGAGTGGGTCCTTCGCCTCGAGGAAATCGAGATACACGTCCCGAGTTGATTGGCGGAAAACAGTCTGAACATTGTATTTGCCACTACAACGGTGCTCCCAAGTACGAAGTTCAGGAGTTCAGGAGAGATAAGGCAATTGCTTCCCTTCAAATTCACATCCACAAATGAAGCTTCTGGGATTTTTACTCAATCTGCAGGCGAGTACTCTGAACTGGGCTGTTCAAAACAGCTCCCCTGCTAAACGTTGGACTTCTAGTCGGTTAAATATGGACTAGGTCCTCCAGTAGAGAGGTTAGAATACGGGCACCAACTTTTTTCTGCAGTCTATTTCAGTAGGGCACTACCGGGGTACCTAGTGGAAACCCAAACCACTAAGCCAAGCCACTAAGCCCACGAAAAACCTAAGGAACCGGACCCTACGAGCGTTTGAACTCTAAGGAACTGGATGGCTGGGCTTGCCACCGAAGAAGCCCCTGCCGCTCGAGCCGAACATCTGACAGCCTCGGTGGCTGCCTCGTACGCGCTGGACACCTCAGCGTGAAGCGGTCGAGTCTCCATGCGTCAAAATGGGCGTGATTTGAGTCTTTTGGACCGCAGGCTGTAGTCCTTGTTTCCATTTAGCAGGGCAACCCATTTTGGGGTTACCCTATTTTTGACCACCCATAGGCTCTTGCGTCAGATCTCCTACAAGGAACCCAAAGGGAAGCCGAAACTCGTTTGCTCGTGAGGGACTTGACTTTGACAACTGATGGCAGCAAAACAAAACATGAAGCACCTGAGTGAATCCAAATTCGAGTCTTCCCATGATGCTTTGTCCGCATGGCTGTGCGGCGTCACACGCACACATGCCCGTAGGGTTGCAGGCTGCCCCATTTTCAGGGGCCACGTGGCACAATCAGCTGGTGCTTCTTTATGGAGAAACATGGATCCAACGCATGGAAGGGCTACCGGTTGAACACTTCACCATTTGTCCAGAACACACACACCCTACTCCCCGGGTTCTTCCGGTCCAAAGCGTTGCATGATGTTGCATGGTGGGTGAATGTGGGTGGAATCTGAATGGGATCAGCTGGTTGGATTTCAGCCGTGCTCCAAAACAGCCTTTCACTCCACTCCCTGGATCTAGAAAAATGAAGCAAGTGTTTCCATTTGTACTCATTCCAGATAAATCGAGGGCTTTTCTCAAGAGTTCTGCACTTGAGGCAGTCCTCCTATTTTCCCAAACCGTTTGCCAATAGGAAAGCCCAAAGGCCTCTTTGAAGCCTCTGCAAGGCAGGTCGCAGAAAAGGGAACCTTGTCTACAATAGCTGTTGCGGGCTGCCTTTTCTGCCCAAACCGCTTTTCAGAAACCTCACAGCTGCCAAGGAGTTCTTGAATAAGCTGTGGGAAGGTTTGATTCACTTCGCAGTCGACTTCCATCCATTGCTGCTTTAAAGAGCACTCACAACCTTTAGCCCAAGAACCACCCTAATTATATTGTTGCACCCACCAGAACTGCCTCTGTGGACAATTCCGCTTTCTGCCAGCTCAAGTTTTGAACACAACAAACAAACAACAATATTAGATTTCCAATCAATTGCCAATGTGTTTGCCAACGCTAGACCCTGTCAAACATATATATATATATATATACACATATATATATATAGTCTTCCAAAATCATGGACCGGAAACAGCAACTTGCCGACTACAGTTTTGTTTGACAAGTCGAGGTTTGACAGGCTTATGAAGGGGATAGGGACCTCCAAAATCCGACTTTGCTAGACCTTGTCGACATTATGCCCACAAGAGCCGCTTGGCTCATCAATCTTCGTTCCCCAGCAAGCCCCGAGAAAACGCAAATGCAAGTGCAACCCCCGCCAAAGACTTATGCTAGCAAGAAATGCGCATTTACAAGCCAGGCATGGACCACGATTGTTCGCCAGAGAGCATTGGTAGCAACCAGCTATGACTCCTCAAACCTTGGTGTCTGCAACCCCGCCTCGTTCACAGCAGGCTCAGACCTCAAGATGCAGTCTGCCAGCTGCTTGTTCTCCTGGATGCTTCAGGACTCCGCACCGACCGGGTCTCGGATCGGACTGTCCGAGGTCGGTGCCACGTGAATCCAACTCGACCAAAGCTTTGGTGAACATTGGGGGAATGTCACTTCCCACTCAGATGCGGCTGATCAGCAATCGCCGTTGGCGTGGTTTTTTTTTTTCCCGCTTCTGTTGAAACCTTGTGGAAGGTCCCCCCCCCGTCCGGTGGGTTCCCTATGAACCCGACCACAGCTCTAGGGGACACTTCCCCATTCTTTCCAGGGCTCCTTCTTTTCAGAAAACCAGCAGAATCCAAGGGGAAACAGCGATCGGTTTTTGAAAAGAACCAAGGTTGAAAAGAATGGACAAAAAAATCAACCCCTAGAACAGCCTTGTGACCGGAAGGTACTCCCCTTCGCGTGCTTTTTTCTCGTTGTTGAAACCTTGCGGAAGGTCCCCCCTCCCCGGTGGGTTCCCTATGGTTCCCTATGAACCCGACCACAGCCATCTGACCCTTCCATTCCCTTTGCCCGCTTCGGCGCAACTCGCCTCTCGGGCAGCCTGAAGCTTCTTCGCCAAGTCCTGGACCTGCCGAATGAAACCGAGCTGAGAGGTCCCCGGAATTCCGTGGAGGACCGGGTCTAGGGAGAAAACAGCGCTTGGACGGTAACTCAAAATGGAGAAATGTGTTTTTTTCGAGTGTTTTAACTCACTTGAGTGGATTGGCGAAAAAGGTAGGTCTCACTCGAAATGAAAAGGTGTCCACTGCAGACGCAGGCTAACCCCTCGAAAGAAAAAGCAGGGCTACCGCAAGAATCCATGTACCTGCGGGTTGCCCCGAGTCAGCCAGCACCGATGATTATAACTCAAAGCGGGAACAAGGGAAGCCCGGGTAGCAACCTTAGCAAAATCGATCCGTGTCACCCACGGATTTGAGATCGATTTGGCCATGGTTGTGGTTCAGCCCCTGTGTACTCTTGGGCAGGGGCCGCATTTTGATCTCCGGGCACAAGGGCCCATTGCTCGGGCTCCCGCGGAGGCATGCTCCAGGATGAGGTCCTCCGCTGCCGTGGTGTTGGCCTCGATGCGCTGAGTGGCTGCTGAGTCGTCAAAAGGACTGCCATTCAAGAGTCCAGTGCTCGACTCAGCTTTCTTTGGTTGGTGAGAGTTGCCTGCCTTCGGATGACTTGTGTCAACAAACCTTGTGGTCATGGGATAAACCTCCAGGAACACCGCTCAAAAGATTGTTTCTCATGCACCCAATACTTCAATCGATCTATATGTATATATATATATTTTTTTTTCCTCCCCCTGAAGCCTTGCTTGGGCCAAAATGGTATAAACCAGACTCTGACACTTTCCAAGGGGAAGCCAAAAGAGATGGTTTACACAGGTGCTGAAACCATGGTTTAAACAACCCAGTGCTTCCACTTGCTATACTCCATGTTGTACATGTTCTGGTTGCCTAATATTGGCCCCATATGAATAAACCCGTCTTTTTAATATGGAGGTTCCCTTCCAAAAGCGATGAACCCTGGGGGACACTTTCGGAGTGGATTGTCCACACAACTTTTTGTTTGCCACCAAAATGGTGGCAACCTCAAAAAGTGACTACAGTCCGAAACGGCCCTCAGGGAGCGCCGCTATAGATCAACTAGGGCTTTCAGACCATATCCTTACAGAACTCCTGGTAGCTCCCAAAGGCTCCCACTTTTTGTGGGCAAATTTGGATTTACGAGCCCCAGCTCCGAGTCCGGCTCCCTAGTTCCTTCCGGGGTTTTCCCTGGAAAAACTTGTTTCCAGTGGTGATGGATTTCCGTTAAAACCAACAAGGACTTTTGTATTAAGCAAATGAAAGCGGGGAGTTCCATTTTGCTCACCAAAACCATGTTTCGCACCTCACTTCGTTTCGCAGTCGCTCGCCTGCAACTGTTGCAGCTCCTCCACACTGCGCTGCTCCAGCGCTGGGAACCTGAGAAAAAAACACACCGTGGCTTCGACAAGCAAGGACCCAGTCGAAAGACAAGAAATTCGGGTGAGTCTGAAAAGTAAGACGAATCCCCTGCCCCCCGCTCCCCCTCCCAAAATAAAGTGGTTCTCGCTTTTGATTCCCTTAAAAACCAAGCCCAAAAAGGGTATATCCTCAAAAAACACACGCCCGAATGGATAACAAACACACGCACATGCAGGCATGTGTGTTGTGGCGCTCTAGATTGGTTTCATGATGTGCAAAGGATGTAGATAGTAGGAAAAATGGGGATGCAGGAGTTGAGCATGCTGAGTTGATGCACTATGAATACCGCTCTGTATGTTTGGGTTTGCAGGACAAGGATTTCCTGCAGTTCACTGCGCACATGGACACTATTCCACAAGATGAGAATGTCACGCCAATCTAGACAAAGTGTGTTGGTTTTGTCAGGCCTTGCAACATCTGAAAAATGGTGTTCCCAAAAAGTTTGAAGTCCATAGATTCACCTAGGACACAACCAGTTTTGGCAAGGATGTTCAAGCTCCTGACCTTTAGGACAAATTTCCGTTGATGTGACAAATTGACCTAGCAGAAAAGATGCAACTCCTTGTGTAGTTGGCCATGCTCTCTGGTTGCTTGACTATGAGCACAGAACCGTTCAAGGAGGAGTCTTACATGGCACCAGCGGAGACAACCCAATCGTGATGGTGATTTCCTACGCTTGGTCATCTGCTTGAGGTTGTGCAAAGCAAAGCGGTGAAGACATTCTATGCAGCCTCAGCTCCAGCCATTCACTCCCCGGCTCCACAAACAGATGTGGCTGCCACTGCTGCACCTCGAATGTTTGGATAGGGCTCAAAGCAAGCTATCGTTCCAAGCTGGAAATCCTGTGCTGAGTCATGTTTCGAAGAGCGAGGAACTTTGATTTCAATCTCTAGGGTTCTATTTGCCCATGGGAAGAAGGGGCCTGTGAACTATAGCTTCCGTGCAATGGATCCTACGGTTGTCAGGGGCCCCCCGAAGAAGGGACCCCCTTGGAAACGGTCCCCCCAAAGAAAACTATTAGGCCCCAGTAGGGATTGGAAGGGGGCCCTATTGGGGGGGTGCTTGACCCATAGGAATGGCAAAGGATCATCTCGAACATACGACTCAAACAACACATGTGTGCGGAGTTCAACACGCGCGGCGTTCTTGATGTACTTGAGTTCTCACAATTGGAATCCCCACAAACCGCCTCGGCCCAGGAAATCACAGGAAGGCCAACGACGAACATGAAGAGACCAAAGCACCAGGCCAACGATCCGTCAAGGTGTCATCACACCACAACCCCCAGCAGGCACCACAAAGCAAGGCACCACCACCACCCAGCGCCAGGGAGGAAGGGTGGGGGGGGGGCGGGCGGGGTGTTTGTGTGGCTGGGGGGTCCATGAACCAACGGTTTCACATAGCTCTCGCGCCTGTCAGGGGCAGGCGGCGCAGAAGGCCGCACCTCACGTATGTTTGAGAGCTCCCAGCCTGACTCGGGAGACTTTTGTGTGCCCTTGTTCTTGGTTGCTGGCAGGATTTTTTTGGCTGCTGGCGAGTGAATTTTGCGTTTTATGAGTTCAACGGAAAACCACCTTGAATTCAACCAAAGGGTTAAAGTCTAAAGATCCAACGCAAGGGCAATCATTGCTTTGAGGCTCACCATGTAAGGAACCCACAAAAACTAGGTTGCTAGGGTGCGGCTGAACTAGGGTCCTCCGGAAGGTCGATTGAAGTGTCTCTCTTTGGGTTGCGTGAAAGTGGCTCTGAACTCTGAACGTCTCCGAACAATGTTCAAATTCAAACGTCGCCATCAGTTCAGGGTGCCTATTCTTACCAACCGCAATGATAACGATTGGATACATGGGACGTCCAAATGGTTGAAAGGTCCATTCCCGCATTCCCAGTGACAACCCAAGTGAATCTGCCAGTACGGCAAAGGGAAGACATGCTCCAAATCAACAGCCGCTGATGACCTCGATCCGGTTGATATGAAACGTGCCCAAACCACTGCGCGGGGCGTGACTCCGCCCCCAACGAACAAATTTACTCGACGTGTGCAAGGCTATGGCTGTTCCATTCGAAGACACGACGGTTCAGTTCCCAAGGTCTAAAACCATGCATACATCATCATATAACCCCCCCCCCGGCGGCTGCATACAAGGTGCTCCCCTTCAAGGCCAGTCCCGTGATCAATTCAGATCTACACGGCCAACAGGAGCCCGGAAAGAGGAACCCAAAGGACAAAAGAGAGTCAAAGGAAATGATCGCCGAAAGGGATGTGTAAACATCACCCACCTTCGGGCATGTTGTCGGGAATAAACATGATCCCTGTCAATCTATGTCTGAACGCCTTGGCACGTGATGCTTCTGCAATGTTTACATGTTGGCCACATGAGAGGGGTGTAATCAAGAGCGCTCGAGCCACGGTCAGTATAGTTCAACTAGCATCCATGCCAAAATTGTGCGTTGGTGTGTGTGTGTGTGTGTGTGTGTGCACGCCGCATGTCATCACTTTCCAGGCTTGCACATAACAGTGAATGCAAATGGTGAGCTCCATCTCACCCCCACCAGCAAATCCCAGTTAGTATAGAAGCTGGCTAGTGCATGGACCCGTTTGCTCGTTTCCTTGTTTTGTGGGGACAAAACAAATAACCCCTGCTCATTTGCAACCGCCCCTTTGCAAACAGCCAGGTAGGCCCCCACGGAAAACCATCGTGTAAAACCCTGCAAAAAATACCGAAGGGTTCCCTGCTGGAGTCTCACTTCCTGAGTGGATGGGCTAACAAAAAGTCCAAACTGCGTATGTACCACTAAAATGACCCACACCCAAGAAGTGACTAAGTTCCGAATCGACCAAGGGTGCATTCCGGGGGTTTGAAGCAAAGGGTTGCCTACTACTGTAAGGGGCAGGGGACTTTGTAAGTGGGCAAAGCCATGATTTAACCCACTTACCATGGTCACAAGTCCTAAGTGGGTTACAACCAGGCTTACTTACTGAGTACCCTGCCCCTTTAAGTAGAGTTGCCAAACGGGAAGCACTGGGAATCGCGGTTTTTTCACAACGACCATCGGAGGCCTCTTCTGGCGGAGGCGGGGGGGAAGCTGGGAGCACCTCGTCCCGAGTCTTCGGTTGGCTTCCCTTTGGCAAAAGACCACCCCAAGACAGGGGGATTCCCTCTAAACTCCAAAACAGGGATCCCACCCCCCAAAAAAAAAGTGTTGCTTCTGTTTTGCTTTGACAACTGCTTGGCGACTTGGCACCTGAGTAGAAGCCTCAGTATTTGAATGTTGTGATGCCAACTCCAAATCTGTGAAACCCATGAAAATAAATGTCCGGCATGCGGAAGGCTCACCCGCTGCGTGAGGTCGCTATGCCCAGAATGATCCAGAATGCTTCCGAGGTAAAGTGCAAACATTCACACTCCCGACTTCTTCTTTGGGAGGTCCATTTAAGAGAGAGGTTTCTTTTCGGTGGAACGGCATCCCCCGGGTCCCCCGATTCCATTTATCTAGTCTTCCCCATGAAAGGGAAAATGGAACTATAAATGGAATTCCCTCCCCCAATTCCATTTTTATGGGGGCGGGGATGGAACGGCCCCTCTGATCCTCCATAAAAAACCGGGGGTCGACGAAAAAAATCCGCGTGCCGAGTCGCTGCGACCACCTCTGCCTGGACTGGCGTGGGGCCTAGCGCAGATAGCACCGCCCAGGTGGCCATGGGTCAAAATCCACATGGTACCCCCAGTGAACATCCCCAATCCCCAGCTAAAATAGGTTCTAAAATGGGTGGCGCACCTAACCCACAGCCATGTAACAAGTCGCCCTGCTTCTTGACGACCCTGGAGATGCACTCTGGTTTTTGGAAGGACCCAGGTTGGATCCCTTCTGCCTGGCCCGAATATGCGAGATCCAGCTAAGAACAAACGGTGCAACACGTGATATCTTTCAGCCAAGGCCAGTCTAGCAGTTGAGGGTCGCTCTAGCAAATCACTACGAATGTGATGAACCCTAAAAATGGTTGGCTTCCTTTCGGTGTCTCTTGCAGATAGGGAAAAGGAATGAACATCGGAGTTCTCTATTTCGAGAAAGCCTCATCTGTTCGACACTTTCGAGCAATTCTAAGAAAGCTGCTGATGGCCGTCACATCAGCGAACCTTTTGGCTGCACAAACTTTGCCAAGCGAAGTTTCGGAACAATTCTATAAAACCTATGGTTTTCAACACTTGAACCATCTGCGCATACACATCCTCCGTGTTTGGCGGGTACAAAGCAAACCAACACTGCCATTGTGTCTGTGGGCTCCTCCCCGAGCCCCCAATTTCGACACGATCAATCATCCCGCGCTCCTGGCGGCGGCGGCGGTGCGGGGCTGGCGGACCATGGCCACGGCATCGCTTCCGAAAGAGCTTTGGGGTTGGATCAAAGGCCCGAAGGCGCTAGGCCTTGCAAATCTGAAGTTGGCGTTGCTTCGGATTCCTCGGATCGAGCCAGAGAGAGGCACCGTAGATCGCCTTGCGATCTTCCTGCAGGTAAACGCGGCGGGAGCTTTTGGGGAACTGTGGCTACCCAATAGAACAAACAAAAACTGTCATTACCCAATGTCCCCATTTTGCCTACACCTGGGGGGTCTCTACCTGCCGCACTAAAAGGCGGCACCATGGTACCTAACGAAATGCACAGGTTTAGGTGTGGTCCGCATCAATTCTCAAAATTATGGACGTTCCAAAGGCAAACTCAACCATTTAAGGGGTTCTTCCATTTTGAGAATCACAATCTGTCCTCAACAAGCTTGAACACAACTGCAGGCCTGAATTGAGAGCATGAATACCGTCGCCGCCAGGGCTGCCAACAACATGAGTGAAGGTGGTTGCGTGTTAGAGTTGTTATAGTTGCTCCACCTTCCATACAGCAACCATACGTGTAGACTATACACATGTTACGATATAAATATAAACATGGCATGATCATCCTAGGATATCCTAGGTCTTCAGACCCCATTCACCTGCCAGGTTCTGCTTCAGCACAGAAAGGGAGCTCGAGGTAAACTCCACGTACTTGCTGACGTGTTCTACTGGGGGTGGGAGCGCCAAACGGGCTCCTGGTGGTTCCTGATTTCACATCACCCCGCCCGAAAGAATCGATTTGCAACCTGGTGAGTGAAAGGTGATGTCTTGAAAGGCCTGAGCGTGAAGACTTCCTGAAACACAGGTTCACTTTCATGTTGCCCCGTCAATCATATACAGGGGGTCTCAAGAAGGGTCCGCGATTCTGAGAACCTCTAGGTAGATGCTTCCCACAATCCGGCAATCAAGCACCACAAATCGCTGGTGTCCAAAAAGCATTCCAGGATCCTCAAGTAAGTTCGGCCTCCGCTCAATCAATCAAACGCCTATGACATTACCCGCATGCCAATTCAGAGCAATTCCCCTTTTGTGAGTCCTGCAATGATCGATTCAGTGAAACGGACGGCTCGTACCGCCTTCTCAGGTCTCAAGTAAAGCATCAGCTCTGCGACCGGCTTGCCTGCAAGAGATACAACTAACCGGGTTGACAGAGTCGGTCATAAGGCAGCTCGGCTGGCAAAAACTTTGGAGCCCTTTTGATGACATTTAAACACTCAAACAGACTTTGAAACAAATGGGTTTGGGGGATCCACCGGTGGGGAAGAAAATGTTGCCATGGATGTTGAAATCACGCAAAAAGGGACATAGAAGAAGGGCGCATATGATATGCCGGGGAACCCCACAAGTTGTGCCCGTTCTGGTTTTAGTTTCCCTAACCCACCTGAAAAGCGTACCGAGCTCCGTGGTTGGGTCGTGCAAGGGAACACCGACATCCGTTTTGGGGGTCTAACTGCCTATTTTGACGAGCGCACACCCATGCCCCGCGAAACCAACGGCAACCTTCCCGCAAGACTCGCTCGCGCTGTCGCCTTCCGGGTCTCAGTGCGTGGAGACCAGCTGGCTGTCCCGGATGCCATGCTGGCGGAGCGCGACGGATGGGAAATCAAGATCCATTCATCAGCGTCCCTCTAATTGGTGGCTTGGATTGGTTTGGTGGATCAGGAGGGGCTTCCCATGCACCTTCCACAAGAAGAAAAAGTTCAAATCCAAAGCACCACTTCGAGGGAGGCTGAGTTAAAATGCCTAAAAAACGACCTGTTCGAATCGAGCTCCCTCACAGCGAGTGACCGATCCGCTCCGCTGGGCCTGTTGCTGGTGCTGCGGCCAAAGCTCTTGGGCTTTCAAGACCAGCCACTGGGTGTTGTCCTGGCAAGGCCATCCAGGTTCAACTGCAGGATCTGCAGGCATGGGTTTTGGAGAGCTTGTCATTCTGTTGTACAAGGAGTACAAATTCTGCTTTACAAGCTCGTCATCGGTATACAAGCAGCCATCCTCCAAAACACAGCCCTGGAACACCAGGGTGAAAGTAGATGGGACTATTCAGTTGCGGGGTAAGAGGGGATGACTATACCAACAAGGGGAATTGCTTACCACCTTCTAAGATATCCTTCAATACCCCCAAACCACTACCCCCTGAAGTCATGGGTTATGTTTTATCAAGCCTAGCTTCTAGATAAAGGGACACATTATTTGTGGAATCCTGGCCGAACCCCTTTGAGGTTATCTGCTCACAGTCAGTTGCTCTGCACCGCTCTGATATCCATGTCAGTAGCGCGCAACTGAAGAGCTGGCACGCATGATTCAATTCGAGTGGGAATTCAAGTGGGAAACCCAAGTGAACAAGTTGAATTCGCCAGGGCGCCACGGACTCACTTCCGTGGATTGGCAGCAACGAACCAATTGCTTGTTGTGTGTCACTGAATGCTCTTCCCCAAAAAATACAAAGCCAAGGAACTCTGGAAGTGAGGTGGACATGAGTGCGTCTGTTTTGAGGGGACCCTTCAGGCCAGCAAGGAGCCATATCAAGAATCAAAGGGAGGCACCCATTCAAGCTTGGCCCTGTCCCCAGGTGTTGTCACTTTTGTCTCCTTACCCCCATGCCCCGCGCTCCAGCAGCTGCATCCAGGAATTCCCCAGCTTCGGCAGCTGACGAAGCAGCGCCACATAGGACCTGACAAAAGTCAAAAACTAACTCGCAAGGACACGTAGGGTGACTCATGGACTCCCAAGTGCTCTGCCACGCCCAAAACCGTCGAACTGTTCTGAGCCAACTGGTGTGGATAAGTTGAGCAAACCTCTGAAATGCTTTCTACTGAGCGCAACAATCCAAAATGCGTGACCAGAAATCGCCTCAAGAGCTTCGTGTCATGTTGGTCTTAGAATCAACCCGGAGCGTCTGCGGGATTGAAAACAGCAAAGCTGGTCAATTGACTATTTGCAAATGGTTGCAGAATTCCCAACTGAGAGACAAACCCAGCCCATGTCTCACAGCAAGGAACGCTTCTCCTCGTCGGTGGTGCAGCGTTTTCGGCTCCAACACCGCCCCACCTCCCGCACCCGCCCAAACAGAAGGGGGCTGAGCCTTAAATCTCCCTGTCAATTCAAATTTGGCCATAGCATATCGTTGAATACGGTGTTCTGGTAAACAAATGATTCCAGACCCTGCTGCATCACCGGTCATGTCTATGATCAGTCTCAAGGAAGCTCCGCGCATCTTTTCCTCGCCACCAAGCAGCCACTCAGAAACAATACTCACCTTTGCTCTCATCTTGGCGTCCTTCGCATCGCACCATCCTCCACGGCCAGCTGGAGTCATCCTCCGCGCTCATGGCATTCAGTCCCGGATCGCGCTGGCGAAAAAATGCCGCCATCGGTCGAGGTATGTCTCGGATGCTCAAGGCCCACACGTCCGCCTGCCGCACCGCCGGAAATTTCGTCGCAGGGCCTGAAGAATCCTTCCGGCTATAAGTTGCTTCAAACTAAACCTTACTCAGTGGCAAAGGTCACGTTTTGTTGCTTGGTGTTTCTGAGGCATCTAACTGCACCAGACAAAGGCGTACACAAGCCAAAGGGCTCACAGCCAAGCCAACATGGGCTTCGGCTGCCATTTGGCTTCCCTCGAACCCCAAAAGGGCAAGCCACAAAACTACACAAACAAAACTTGCTATACCCACGGAGTCAATCAGTAAGAGAGAGCTAGAGACCCCCCCCGCCATTCTGTCCCTCGTATTTGGGCTGTGGGGATGGAGCAGTCATTTTGTAGTCTGCAAAATTGACGGCTGTGGCGAAAGAGTCTGCAACATCACAGGGGGTACGAGGGCTTACAAAATCACCGCGCTCCAGCGGAATGAAGGCATTTTCCTTCAAGTGGTCACCCAAAAACGCAGTAATCTGAAGCTAGGGGTCCATGTCATTGGAGCGTCATGGTGCAGTGGGCGTGTTTGGATTGAGTCCTACCAATGCTCCAATTGGCATGGACACCCATGTCGCAGGGAAAATACCTGAGGATAGGCTCAACTGGGCCCTCAGCAGGGCTCTGAACAGGGTGTCAAGCATGCACCCACGCACGCGATTGTTCTTCTCTTGCACAAGCAGAAGCCGCCTACAAAGTGACAGTGTCTGGTATCCAATGCTGGAAAATGACATTAATTGCCCTGACCCCGACCTCAACACAGCATTCCTACAATCCGCTGCGAAAGCCCGCAGCTTGAATCTATAGCGGAAACGAAGCCTCCGAAAGCAAAACATGCGGTCGCGAAAGCATCGCGAAAGAGTGCAAAAAAGCAAATTCAGGGTACCGCTTCTTACCCTTAAGAGTTTTAGGCACCGCTCAATTCATCAAACAGTTCATGAGCATATACAGCGCCCGCCAATGCATGCCAAACATGTAAAGGAATGTAAACAAATATAAAGATATTACAAAGCAAACACAACACAATAACCCAAGCTCAGTTTCTACAACATGCCACACTGTATAACCAGAACTCATGCCTGCAAAATGACGTAACCTGGCCCAACCTATTCAACAGAAACCGTTTACAGGGAGGTCAGCCTCATCCATTTAATGCGGGAAATGTAAAGGGGGATCCCATCTTCCCATTGGATAGGCTGTAGGCTGTATGACATAGGGAGAATTGGTTGGCCCCCCCAGCGCTTTGTGTTGGCCCCTATGTCTTCCCGACAGTCAACAACCAACTAGGTCCTCCAGTAGAGAGGTTAGAATAAGGGTACCCTTCTTTCTGTAGTCTATTGCAGTAGGGGAACCCTCCTCCAAAAAAGGGCAAAAGGGCACTACTGGGGGACCTAGCCAAACATATTGTCAGCGACTCATTTCATGCACTCCTTCACGTGATTCAGCGGAAGGCATCCAGCTCTCCGTGTGCTACTTGACGATCCAAAAGGTCTGATCTCCGGTCAGAAAAAGCTGCCGCTCCTTGCCTGCAGTTTGATCAAACCATGTGTCTGTTTTTTTGTTTTTTTTTCAAAATGGGTTTGTATCTTGACCTGCTTGAAGAAGAGAACAGGGAAGGTCTCTACTTACACTTTTGCAGTCTTATATGTGTCTCACAATGGTCACAAGCGGTTCAAACGGCACTTCACTGGAAGGCAGCAATGATTCGAAACCTAAAGCTCCAGTGGGTTGTGCTCAACATAGAGGGATCCTCTTTTGAATGTTCAAAGAGAAATCCAAACAACAAGACCTGTTCTCCCCGGGTCGCCCGATTTCGAAAACACCGGAAGATCCATTCGGAATCTACGAGTGGTTGTGAACCAGAGTGGGGCGAGGCATGCGTTTAAACTGTTTGAAGCAAGTGTTGATTAAATCATCTTCTGTTGGCCTTCCTAAAACACTGGCGTCTGATGGATACGCCTCATTTTGCTCCACCGTTGTGGTTTCGCTGTCCCTTGTGGTTTCCCTTTGGAAACCAAAGTACACTGGGCACCCTCACAAAAATGAGACACACAAACAAGAAAACAAACAAACAAACAACAAACAAACAAACTAACAAACTAACAAACAAACAAACAAACAAACACACAGGCCTTTGCAACATGAACAATCGACAAACCCTTGGTCAACATTCACCTCCAAGCCTGGGGGTTGGTGTTTTTCTTTGCTCATCAATCAAGGGCAAAGATGTAAGAGGGTCCCAAATGTTGACCCATAACCGTCGAGTTGCGCACTGCAAAGGTCATGGCAGCCCCCACCACGTCGTTGAAGGGCTGTAGGCCGCTGTAGACCTCGTGAGGCTCGATTTAAGCGGGTGTGGAAATCGAACCCTTCAAAAAAATCCATTGACCTACGAATGTTGCCACAAAACCAAACCTCAAAGAGGGGATGTCCAAGAAGTATGTTCTTTCCGTTTCTCATTTTACGCTCAGGTGAGCTCGACACAAAACACTCATTTTAATTGAGGACCCTGTACATGGAAGGACCCATACTTCGTTAGGAACTTCTGTATGAGGAGAATGAAAGCAACCCCCTTCTAGGAGCGGGATCAGGCTGTGGCCCACGAGGTTGCCCCCAATTTGTGTGGGACATATATTATTGAGCCCGTACCCCCCCCTGCTTTACTCCTTTAGCCCCCCCCCTTTAGGCTTAAAGGGCTTCTCTTGCAGGGGAGGCTTGGGAAGCCTTGCGGAAGCTTTGGGAAAGCTTGGCCTGACACTCGCCCTGCGCATGGCGGGAACACTAGGGAGGCTCTTGGGGAACCGTTAAAAGCTGATTGGACAAGAAATACCGCCCAAACCTGCAAATTAGGTTGGGAAGAGACCCTTAGGGAAGCCTTAAGGAAGCCCTAGGGAAGTTTTAGGGAAGCGTTAGGGAAGCTGGAAACCTTAAAGACGCCCTGAAGCCTTAGGAAACTTTGGGGAAGTTTGCGGAAAGCTTAGGGGGACGCAGCACTTTCAGAAAGAGCAATTCGAATCTCTGCGTTCCCTAGGTTAGGACGCACAAAAGTAACGCAGCTCCAATCTCCGATCAAAATCAAGGGCTCTCTTAGGTTCAGCTTCGGAAGGCTTAGGGGAAATGCTGACATATCAGCTTCCTAGCCATCCTAGGAATAGGACCCCACTACCTTACGAGGGGGGGTGAACGGGGTAGGGTGGGGGTACAGGCATTCATAAATATAGGGAAGGTGGGAGCTCTCAATGTTCCTTGCTTCACCTATTGGACCCAACGGGAAATGGACAATTTAGGGACCCCAAGTCGAATTTCTCGTGGGTTCCTGCGATTCAAAACATGGTTCACTATTCACTATTTGTAGATACACCCATTCAACATGTTCCCGTGATTTTGACAAGCACAGAATGACAAAAAATCGCAACCGGCTTCTCACTTGAGCCTCCAGCTACAAACTCAACCGCCAGCTCATGGTCACCCGAAATAAGGAGTAATGTCTTGCCACATTAACAACGCAAAACGGGGACGAAGTTGTCCTGTGTAATTAGCATAATGGACATTGCTTGTTGGGGCAAACCTGGCGTGTATGTTTATGTTTGGTTGTTGTGAAGAGCTAAAGGGAACCACCCTTAACATCCAAAAGCATCCCAACCACAAGTGTGGTCAGGTTCTATTTACACAGCAGGATTGAAAGGTGCGCTGCAGCATAAACATAATTACGCCTAGTTGAGCCGTGTATGCCAGAATCATACATTTGAATGACGCTTATGCGTGTGTGCAGCAATTCATTGCCACACCAACAGTTCAACCCAAAACCCCCGAGTGGCCATGGAAGAAAAAAGGCCACTCTGTCTTTGGTAGTTGATTCTAAGGGCAAAATCCCCTCCAGAAGGTCAACAAGAAAGCCAGCCAAGAAGGTCAAGCTTGCTTGGCCCAAAGGCCAAGCAAAACACGCGGGCTTGGCCTCTCTTGGCTTTCGAGGGGCGTGGTAGAAGTCGTGGCCCAGAAGCACTCCGCCCTTCCGCAGCGCTGCCCAGTAGAGCTCTAAGTCTGCCAGCAGCTCCTAAGCCCAGATGCTTCAATCAACTATAGTTGGTTTGGAGCCCGGCTGCCCTCTAGCCAGGGCTTCAAGTTCCCAAACCGCCAATCCAAACCAATTCAGGGTTAGCCGAATGCCTGGGCAGTTGTCCAACAAAAGCAGACGTTCTCAAGAACACACCATCCATCAAGGAAGCCCCACATCCACAGCATCACTTGGCATCTTGCACCTATTGCACACCCTGCATTCGCAGCATCACCGGCAGTCTGCAAAACCTGGGGTCAAAGAGACCCCCCCCCCCCAAGCCAATCAACCAAACTGGTGGCCAAAAGGCTGGCTCAAAAAGTTGAAGTCTGAAGATCCAACCAAATAGTTGTAAAGCAGTTTAGCCAGACTTGCGCTTTTCTTTTTCGTTTGTTTTCCCACGAAAAAACACAAAACAACAACCCCAAAACAAGACACCCCACCCCCACTTCAACCCCCCCCTTCTGTGAAAACGCTACTTAACAATAGGGTGCATTTATTAAAATACGGCAATACGGGATCAACGGCCATCAAAGGGGGCAGCCTCAAGAAGCTTAGCCAAACTTCCTCCCCCGCCCCGCCCCACTGGTGGTTTGTCGTCCGACCGTCCTTGAAGCGCCCCATGGAGTCCACGAAGACCACGTCCAGCGCTCGGCGCGCGAAGAGCCGCGCCGCCGCGGTGGCGTTGCACGGGTGGAGGAAGATGCGCCCCGCGCCGAAGGCGTCCGGAGAGGTGCAAGCGAAAAGGCCTTGAGATGGGGCCGTGGTTTGCCCCAAGTGAGTTATAGATGGGTGTGGTTCGTTTCGAGGGAAACCTAAAGATTGAGGGACCCTATGACCCTACAAAAAATATGGTGGTTTTTCTTTGGGCCCCTTAAAATAAATTTCAGGATTAAGTTTTCGCACGCTCCTGTTTTGAGGGAACCCGTTCAAAGGGGTTTGCTTAATGGGAATGTAAGGGACCTCCCGCCATTTTACGGTTTCTCTCATTTAGAAACACCCAGATAGGGAAGCATGGAATTTGCGATCCATGAAGCTCCATGGGGATACCTTCATTTAAGGTGAATTGACTACCCTCCCGCCAAGGTGGAAGTACACAACGCCCTGGGCTACCGTGTTTTTGGAAAATGGAACTGCGCACGTGTTTGTTCCATGAAGGTATCCCCAAGCAAGGAACCTTGATCATGGGTGAGTTATGACGGATTTCTGTAAATTGGCTGAATTCAACTGCTGCAAATAGCTATAAATCTAGTGACCAACTTTCACAACCTAATCACCCATGGCAGTCACCAACCATTCATCTAGCGCAAATCGCAGTCGCTGGTTAGGGTGACCATTGTCATTGTGTGACAGTAAGGGAATGAAACCCGTTCTACCACCAGCTCGCCATAATCAAAGAAGCGTGGAGAAACAACCGCAAAATCAGGCGAGAAACTGGGTGTTGGTTAACATAGCTGCGAGGTGCGTTCCAACAGGTGCGAAGGGCCCTACTGCAGGAACACTGTACGCCATTGAGCCAAGGGTTTGACTCTCGTCCCATTGGCTGGTGTTTGGCCCTCCTGTATCCGCGTGAACATCCTCCAAGCGGTGCCACCTGCTACCATCGACCTGTTGCTCTCCCCGTTAGCAAATTGATGCTTCAAACCAATGGTTGGCAGGTGAGACATGGTTGGCAACCAACGGGTTAGCCAGAAGTGTTCAGAACACGTTGAACGTGACCTGATAAGCCTAGGCAAAGCTACAGAACTGCGGTTGGGGTTGTTGAGGAAGTCAAATATGGCCATGCTTTAGACTCTTAGACGGGGGTGCCTGAAGCGCATGCGAGCTTCCAATTTGAAGCTGAAGGCCGTTTTTGAGGCACGGAGCAGGCAACTGCCACGTGGCACATGGAACCTGTAGGAAGTCTTCAGCGGTGATATTTTAACAATTTGCGACAAGTCTTGCGCGGCAAATGCCCGGAGCGCTTCACCAGCAACCAAACTTGAGCAAACAAGGACAAACCAATCCAAGATGCATTTCCAGATCAACTAGAGGTTGCTCACTCAAGCCCGCGCAGGGACTCGCGAGACAAGAATGTGCTACACAAATGTTGTAAAGACATACAATTCATTCGCTTGCATATTCAAACTCGCTATGTTTTTGTTTGTCTTTTGAAGCGTTGCTGCTTCGTGGCTGCTTTTTATTGACACCGAAACCGGGGGGGGCGGGGGGGGGTCGTTGCCTATTTGCAGACACACCCCTTTCGGGACTTGCGACTTGGTATTCCGTACCCAGGGGCCCAGGGCCGGCGCTTTGATGGCCCGGCTCCTGGCTCTCGCCGCGTTGGGCGCGGCGGTCATCTGGCAGCTGCTCCAGCCGGGCGCTTGGGACAGCAAGCGCGCCCCTGCCGGAGGTGGTGATAGTCGGATTTGGATGTGGGTCAAAAATCGGTACCCAAAATGGGGCCCTGGTAAATGGAACCAAGGACTAAAACCTGCGGTCCCCCGGTGGTTTAATTTTGACCCACGCCCATTTATCTTTTTTCAGGGAACTTGGCATTACATGGGATTCGGACCCGAACAAAACTATGGAAGTCGGCTTCTTTAACTTTGGGCTTCCCTGAGGTGAAAAGGGTACCAGCCCACAAGAAGACACACAGACGTGAACCTTCCGATGCGAGACGCGTGGGCCTGCAAGTTGCAGGATCCTCTCGTTGGGCTCCACGAGGTGAATCTCCGCGAGGTAGGGCAAGGCCACTTGGGCCAAGTGGTGCGGCGTATCGCCCTCCCAAACCTGAACCCATGGCGGCGTTTCCGAGGGTAAGGTTGACCCCAGATTAATAAACCCATGTTTATTAATATGGGGGTGTCCTCGGTTTTAGTGGGGATTCATCACTTTTGGAGAGGAACGCCCCCATATTAACAAACAGGGGTTTATTAATCTGGGGTCAGCATTACCCAGTACCCCTCTTCGAGCAAAGAAAGAAAAGGGAAACCGGGTCAAGGACACCTGCAGTGGACTCTCTTGGAATCTTAGTGGATTTCCATACACCAGGGTCCCCGAACAAAAGCGTCAGCCACTGGAAGCGCGGGCATTGCCATGAGTTGCTCTTGGGGGCACTTCGCCCCCCGCTGCCCCCCCCCAAAAAAAAACAAAAAGGAAGCGAGAACCGCCCAACACAATCGAAACCCAAGCCGGCGAGACCCCAAAGCTCCGATCCCCCAAATTGCCCGCTTGGAGTCCAAAAATATGCGTCTGTTTTGACAAGCTTCACCGATCTTGAGATGGGTTAAGTTGGCGTTCAAAGCCAAAAAAAGACGATGTGCATTCAAGCGGGTAAGCTTGGCACTACCAACAAAACGAAAAGATGAGGGCCTTACCCAATGTGTGCCTCGCTTTCCGGTTTCTTTCTGAGCATGGCCACGCCATGTCATTGCCATTGAGAACAACCGGCGGCCTCCGTTGTCTTTGACATACTAGTTTGGTTAGCGTGCCGCCAAATGTTGAGGGTTGCTGGGCATGATGTTCTTTAAGAATAGTACAGGAGAATCGATTAATTAAATTGCAATATTTTCGAGAAGTGACACATGGCCAGGAAACTGCTATGTTGAGAGATTGCTACAGCTCCACTCTCTATTGCAGTGCCGGCGCTGACAGTCAGCTAGTGACTGCCAACCCAAGCAACCACAACTTGATTGCAAAATAACAGGATCATCGCAGCAACCGCTCGAAATGCGAAAGCTGTGGTCCTTTGTAAGGAAGCAACATGCGTTCGCCAAAGGCAAATCTTGTATGGACAATCACTTGGCTTGTTGGCTTGGATCCCAATCCTGGAAATTCACAGCCTTTCTAAGCTTCAACTAAAGTACTGTGCCTTGCTAAAACACTCCTCCTGAGAACCTCCAGCAAGCAGACCTCTTGAAGGCTCAAATTTAGCTACGCAACGCCCAGCTCCGCGTAAACCGCCCCTTCTCGGCAGTGCAAGCAATAGGACTGAAGCACTCGTGCGATGGTGTGGTACCGCTTCTCGCCCTCTTCACCGTTGGTTGCCCACGCGCCTTTGCCGGGATCGGGGTGTCAGTTTGCAAGGCGAAATGCGGTTTTTCAGCCCAGCGGATTTCCATGGGCAAAAAGGCCACCCCTTGGTTGGCTGATTTCAAAGGGACAGAAAGTGTCACTTTAAACCAGCCCAGAAGGGAGAACCGTGTGCACTGAAGACCCAGGAGCCAACTCCTTGGTCCCCTTAGACCCAGAAGGTTGACTCTAAACGGCAGATGGAAAACCAAAAAGGCGGCAACAGGACAAACAAAAGGGTAAGCTAAGTCTATGGCAAAGGATGAGTAGGCATCTTTGCCACCACCTGTGTGGAACCTGGAGATCGTATGATTCGGTGACCCCTTCATGTGGGTGTCTCTCGTTTTCGGGGACTCCCCCAAATAGTGGATTCTCCTTTTCAGGTGTCCCTTTAAAACCACCTAAAGAAGGGTAATTCCCCTCAAGAAGACCCAAGCGACAGTCTGGCAATGTCACGCCCCTCCCGCGATCTCGGGGGTTTCGCGTGTGGCGCCTGCGGCAAAGCGCACCTGCGGCATGGGGATCGGCCGCCCGGGCGCATTCGCCCGCGCGGCGAGCTGCCAAAGGTGGGTATTCTGCCTCACGGCCCAAAACGGGCGGGCTGTGTGGCTCGTGTTTTCGGGAGTTGGTGTACCATGTGTAACGTTTATTTGCTTGGTTTGAGGGACTTTACCAAAGGACACCCTGCCTATTTCTGGGGGGGGGTCTCTAGTTTGAGACAAACCCAAAGCAGAACTGGGAGGAAACAAGGGGTCTAGAACACAACCGCGGGTCAAAAAGGGGTCTGGGCAATTCAACATGAGCAGTCCTTGTTTTTTGGGGAAATGAAACACGCGGAGTAGACACAACAAGACTTTCCAACAATGGAAGCTGAGGGTCTTGAAACTCTATGTCCCTTGTGGGAAGCCCTTTGTGTGAAGGGGTCAAACCCAAAGGTTGGCAGACTAGCGAAGGGGTTGAACTGAGCAAAAGGTCAGCCTGGTTGTGAACCGGAAAAGGCCACAAACGGGAAAGCAAACGGCCGCTTCCCTCCAACTGGCGGCTTGAATTGGTGGTTTGGTGGGAGTGGATTCCCATTTCGCCGAATCCCTACGAAATCAAGGGGTGCGAATCCCCAAAAAACCAATCCAAACCGCCAATCAAGGGCTATCTGAGGAAGACGTGACCAGTTGGACATATAAATATCCCTATGCTTCGTGAAACGGGTGGTCTGTTCACATGAAATCCTTGCAAAGGCGTCCACTCCAAAAATGATCTCCCTTTGGCCTCTCCCATTCTCATTTCGGGGAAGCTCCTGAAGAATCAACCACCATAACAACCAAAAAACATGCAGGAAACCCAAGGAACCTGGTTAGCTGTAAGTTGAAGGGACCAATGAAGAAACATCAGCCAACTGTTTGCTGGTGTAAAGCAAACCAGTAAACGGCAGATGAAAGCTGAGCCTCGGAAAAGGTTGTTGCTTGAGTTCAGCTGGGCTGCTGCTGGAGCACCGCCGCCAGCAGCCGCAAGGAGGCTGCGTCTTTCGGCACCACGGCCTGCCGGATGGACCCGCTGCTGGCTCTGAGAACCCTTCTAAGAACCTTTTTTTTAAGAATCTGTCCTGCGTACTACGGGGGCCTTGGGTTGCTTCCCTGGCCATGTTTTGGCCACCGCCTTTCCAGGACAACATTGCCACTCCTAAATCCAGCACCCATGATTTTTGGGACACCAAGAAATGCAATCCTTTCAACCCCCTTCGCAGCCCGAAGCAAGTATTCAGGATTGCCCCTCAACAGCTTGACTCAACCACAAGCGAAGCACATTCTGGGCAAACTACTATAACTATAACTCACGCGATGAATCAAGAAAGGCCCCTTCACCATGTGTGAGCTTGTTTTGCCCCCAGGTGACACCTACCCTCAGTGATGACAGCCTAAAGCCAGCGGAATAAACCAAAAAAATTGAGCTCGTGATTTGCGATCATGATCTTCTAGGGATCTTCTTATTACACCCGGGGACTACACCCTAAGAAATTGACCAGAATAATCCAAATAAACCCAAATAGCTAGATGCTATTTGGAAAGAGGCCAGAATACCATGATTTCCCAGAGTCCAGAATTCCGTGATTCTCCAAAGGGCGTAGTCCAGAATACGGTGATTCCCGAGAGGGCGGTGCAATAGAAAAACTCGCTTCTCCCGCCGAGATGTCCCGCCGTTGCCAGTGCCAGGAGATTGGCGAAGGCATCTTGCAGCGACAGCCCCAGTAGTTTCCGACACGCCAAAGGCACCCCAGGCGGCGGAGACAGGCAGGACAGCCTCAGGCTGTGCCAAGCGATAATCTAAAAAAAACGGCGGGCACAAATTTGGTCGTCTCCCGTCTTCCTCTTGGAAACCCTTTAAGCCAAGGTGAAAAGGGTACCCCACCCAAACAAAAGGAAAACAGAAGCAACCGCGCTAACTTTTGGTTCCACCGAAAGGGGTTGACTCCCAAAACACCAGGGGCATGAACGAGTTGTTGTTTATTGCAACTTGTTCACAGTGGTTGAGACTCCTTTTCGCCATGGTTTGGTGGAAAGCCTCAAAATGGTTGTCAAACATGCCGATTCAGAAAGGCAAGCAAGCCTTCAATGGCATGCCAGCGAATTGCACCTAAAGCCCCCCCAACTCCAATGGCCGCGTGGTTTTTGTCGAGGGTACCCTTTCCGAGGTGTCAAAAAGGTAATCAAAGACATCAACAGGACAACCAATCTTTGTGGTGTCCCTCTTTGACACCCACCCACGTATGCACTGCAATTCGAGGGATGGCTCAAAAACTATCTGACAATCTACAGAATCAACTTTGCTTGGGGAATGGACCTGTCTGGTTTGTAGTGGAGCATTGCCTAGGTTCTTGGTTGATTGCTGGGCTTCCTCGGCAACTTCCATCATATTTGTGTGCGGAGTGTTGCCTAAACTTAGGTCCGCCCGAAGGATCTTAGCCATCCACTTTTGGGAAACTAGCTGGATTTGCTCGGTGAACGGGGCATAAAACCATTTTAAAGCTTTGGAGCTAATCTATTTCTAACCAAACGAACCGATCAAAAGGACACCTATGATCGTGGGTATGATATGTACTTGTGGACTCTTTGGCGGGCATCATTGGTGGGATCTATGTCCACCGGCCTCTAAGGGGATTCCCCGAATCGTTTTTCGTAGTACCTACTTGCAAACCTAAACTGCCATTTGCAACTTTCCAGTATAGTGATAGATTCCCTTGAAAGTCGTTTAAACCAAGCAGGGAAAATAAAACATATTCTGATGCAAATGGAAGGACAAGGCAGGGATGGGGTCAATTCTTGTTGCTTGTTTCTCTGGAACCTATACATCCAACCACAGATCTTCCGGAGCCTTGCACGTTGCCTTGGATGCCTAGCTTCCTTGCAGGGTCCCTCATATCTCCCTTGAAACATCATCCCACACAAAGAAAACTCAATCCAACGCAAAGCGGGCCCAACATTTGAAAGGTGACTGGTGATGTTCACAACCCCCAAAAAGGCTCGAAAAGGGCGATGTGTTTCCAACCCAAACAGGGGCCATACTGTGGATGGACAAAATCCTGCACCAGTCGGAAACCTTGCGAAACCACTGTTTGTTGGCATTTACAGGGAAATCATCCCTCCGGGGCCTCTTAGGGGGGAAATGGATTTCATCTATCCACAACATTTTATTTTGAACAGATATATAGGTCGATGCATTTTGCGCTATCATCTCACCCCTATGCTGTACAAGTAATCAGGTCCTTGACTCCCCACAGTAGCACCCAGTAGCACCCAAGTCCCCTCCCCTTCTCCCGCCTCAACGGAGTTCCACAGCTCTTGGTGGCCTTCAGCCACCCCAGCAGCGTGCTGGACCCCAGCTCCAGGCACCCGTGGCGCGAGCGTCGCAGCACCCGCACCTGACGTGGGTCAAGCTGCGGAAGTGTTTCTTGATACGTGTCGAAGTCAAAGGCGGGAGGATGTCCTGTTGATTTCGATTTGATCCAAAAACACATGTAATGTTACCAAACTTGATGTTTTTGTTTCGCTCAAAAGCAAAAAAGTGGGATCCATTAGGATCCCCAACATGGGTGATCATCCCTTTGCTTTGCCGAAATCCAACAAGTAACGCACACACACACACAGAAAAACAAAAACAAAACAACAGCAAACCAAAAGGGGTTCCACTGGTTTGAAAGACGCTCTGAACTGTCCATCCGCTTCGGCCTGCTGGGGGGCCGCCACCAGCAGCCGCGCCAGCTGCGGCTCCGGCAGCTGGAAGGCAGCGCTTGGTGTCAACTCTTTGGCCAAGAGCTGAAGGTCCTGGCGAAATTCGCGGGCGAGGAAAGGGGAGTACTCGGTTACTTTCTGCTCCCCTGCTAAAAGTGACTGGCCATTAGTTGGCAAAAAGTTAAAGTCCTAACATCCAAGCAAAATGCACCAAAGGGAAATCCCCTGCGGATCGGATCCAAAAAGCAACCGAACCTTTTGGTTTGCCACTAAAATGGTCCAACCCCCAAAAAGCGACTAAAGTCCATGAACTCAGGGAGTGAGGAAAAGGGGAAGGTTGATCACCTGCGGCGAAACCATCAAAAGTGAAAGAGTTTTCTGACTGTTGGAACCGTTTCTGGGCTATGATAGAGGAGCAAAGCCTGCTCAGAAACCTGATGAACTGTTGAGCCATCTGAGCAGGAGGACTCAAAAGCCAAAAGGGTGGATCCAACCGCGCCCGCTTGTGGCAAAAGGCTGGCCGTTTAATTGCCGCGGCGGATGAACCCACCCAAATGTGCCAAATCCCCCAAAGGTGGCGGCTTGTTCCCATATGTCGATTGAAGCCCACAACCATGTTGCTCAAAATTCGGGACCCCTCCGGATGGTTGGTTTCCTTTTTGATGAGAATCTATGGGCAGCAAACCCTTTTGACTGATGGCTTGAGCCAAACATCCATGATGCCTGGCATGTCTCTGCATATGGCGCACGTGGTTTCTGGGGCGAGCTCTATTACTAGACCTTGGCGGACTCGAGGGCCTTAGCTCCTCTGGCTTTGCCAGTTTCAAAGACTTGGTTCATCACGCTCATGCTCTGCAAGATTCTTGCGTGTGTTAACAGCTTCAAGTTTTATGTCTCCACGCTACTCGCGCTTGCAACCAAAGGAACCTCGTCTGTACATGCCTGAGCCGTGCCACGTGCAGCAGAACTGTCTGACAAAACAGTGATGGAAACTTCGATTCCCCAATCTGCAAACAGTGCCTTCCGTGAAAGTCCCAACGCTGCTGCTTTGACTGCCGCGTAATACTCAGATTCACCTGATGACAATGCTATTGTAGACTGCAGGTCCGAAGCGTGCTTCGCACAATGTCTGGCTGCGTCTGCCTGCCATGCACACGATGCCACTGGTTGATTTGCGTGTAAGCAAACATCCAGCGTGACAACGCGTGGCTTTCCCAACATCTTCAGGTCCTTCATGCGCCCGTCTCTTGGACTTTGCATCCACCACGTCAAGGACCTGACACTCTGCGACAGGTCTGCTCTGTCTTGTGCCAAGAAGTTGCTCTACATCCTGCACTGCTTGATTATCGCCCGGGGGGGGAGGGGGGGATGGAGCGCTGAAAGAAGCGTTGTTGCGCCGAAAGAGGGCTCCGCTTAAAGGTTTGCCTACATCTTGGGCCACTTGATCATGGCATGGGGGCCTAGACATCAGCGCTGACGGAGGTGCTGTTGCGCCGAAAGAGGCGCACTAGTAAATATAGCAGGTTCTACATATGTAATTTAGTTCCATTATGAGAACAGTCAGGCTTGCTTGGATGTTACCCAGAAACACGTGGACGGTGCTTTGATGGTAATGACAAGGAGCCAGTGTCACAATTTCATGTGTGTGCTCAGTCAGTTTCGACTTGCAAAAAAAGTTCCGTATCGTTGTTTCAAAAAACAACAAAACGCGCATAGCATTCCTAAATAAAGTAAATTACATATTTTTCGGCTACCTCACACGCAGACTCTTGCGCACCTATGGCTCCGGGCTAAGGCCTGGCACGTGGAGCAGCAGGCCATCATCCTCAGGCAGCTGCGCAGCGTGCGGGGCCAGCGAGTTCACTGGCGCAAGTGGTCAAACTTGAGCACTTGCTTTCAATCAAACATTGCCTCATTCGGCAAGCTGTTTGCCTCGTTCGGCAAAGTGGTGCAAAGCGCCAGCGCCTTCCTTGGGCCCGTTGGCCTGGCGCTTGCCTCCGCAAGCATGCGTAGCCAATGGTCTTGCTCAGTCTTGATCAAACAGCTGCTGAGCTTTAAGATTGCTAAGCTTGTGTCCGTTCCTAGACCAACGGCTAAGAAGCGATGTGCATTTCCTTGGTTTAGGATTGAGCGAGCGGGGTGTTTCCCAGGCGCCGTCAGGCAGTTTTGGCTTTCTGGGCACCTGCCTCTCAAAACATCCGGTGTGTCCGGAGATCAAATTGTCTGCCGGGCTTGTGGGCAAATCAGGCCCCCCAGAATCGTCGCGCTTGTCCTTCAGGAAGCGGTCGCTAACCTACTTACTCAAGGTCGCCGCTGCTCACCAGGTGCTCGACGACAGTGGCAGCACAGCCTCTGCTTTGGCTCTGCCTGCGCCGGTGCCAATGGATCGCTGTGCGGCGGCGATGTTGGCTGTGCAGAGGCCTTGGCATCACATCATGATCAACAAGCTCTGCCAGGTCATGCGAGCTTGCAGCAAACACCGATGATACTGCCTTGGTCGCACCATGCTGTTTGCCTTTGCGGCGCGGCAGCTTGTGCTGCCATCATCATTGCTGCTGGCACTTTCGACCCACAGCATCTCACCTTGCCGCAGTGATGACCTCGAGTCGCCACCTGCATGCATCATGGCTCCCTTGAGCCGAGCCTGCGCTGCAAGCACAATCATCAGAAAGGGCATGGAGTTGCCACTTGCCCCAATGCATTGCATCCTGCAGTGCCTTGCCGAACACTTGAGGCAGCACCGAAGAGGCGTTGCGGCTCTGGTTGGCAGTGACAGTTGACCCGGCGCAGCGCAGCGCCACTTGAATCGATGCAAAGGCTACAGAGGCCCGCCACTTATCGCAAAGGCTGGCAAGGCCATCGACCTTGCCGCGGCTGCACCATGAGCCTTCAAGGAGCTCGCAGCGCACAAGCGACCCACCAAGCTTCGCCATGAGCAGATTGGCCACATGCGCATCCATGGCCGGAGTTTCGAGCTTGACATCAAGGCTGTCCACTTGCATGTAGATCGCAGCGCCACTTGCTTTGAGGCAAGTTGGGAGGAGAGCACTAGCACACTGATCACAATGCCCAATGGCTCCAAGCCAAGCCTTGTGCTGCACATTGTGTGTTGGCCAGCCTCCCTGCAATGGATTCTGGGGCGACGCGTGTAGATCGCAGAGCCACTTGCTTTGAGGCAAGTTGGGCGCAGCCACATCAAGCAACAATGCTTTGGATGCCTACAATGCTGAGATTGGCCCGCTCTTGATGCCACAGAGCAGGGTCTGCCTTGCTCTGCAGCAGAAGGCAAAGTGTTCCACATAATGTGGCGACAGAAATTAACTGCTTGGCCTTCTCCGACTTGGCCTGCCCAGAATGTCGGCTTCTCCTCCTCCGACTTGTTCCTCCTTTGCCAGGCAGCCAGTCGCCTTTACCCAGCTGTCAAGGTTCTGCGGCAACCTGGTCTTGCTAGCAACCCGCTCGCGCTCTTCTCTCTTTTCCAACTCTTTCTGCACATGCTGCATTGAGTCCTCGTACGCTCGCTGCTGAGCAGCTTTCAGCTGCATATTCATCTGCACTTGCAGGGCCGCCTGCTGCTCTGCCATTCGCTGCTGCGCCTGCTGCTGCTGTTGCTGCATTTGCCGCAGCATGAACGCCATTGCAGGTCCAGGTGTGGCTCCGCGTCCTTTGCCAAAGCCTCGGCCGTCTCCTTGGCCTTGCCCTGATCCTTGCCTTCCTTCCTGCCCTTCTCGCGGCCTTTGGCCATGCCATCTCAAAAGCCTTGTTGTCCGGAATTGTCTTGCGGAGCTCCGCCTGCTGGGGCTGCTGACTCCCATCTTCCTGCCGGCGGGGCCTGGGGCTGCTGATTCCAAGCTTGCGCAGGTCCTGCAAACGCTGTGCGTGTGTGTTACCAAGACCACTTATCGCAGAGCGTGCCTGCCGACGGTGATGGCCCCAACATGTTACAACGTGTAAGTCATAGCACCCAAGCAAATTGGACAGTTTATCTTTTCTGTACCAAGAGGCACCAGGCCTCGGGCATTCCGGTGCGGGGTTGACTTTGAGGATCTCGCCCTCCAAGAGTTTGTGTCTCTAAATTGCCGCGAACCATTTGAACTATTTCCTGAATTCTCAAGCGGTCTTCCAACTTGCAAACAAGCGCCCCTTCTTTGTGTTGACACCTCACGTGGGACGAGGCCAAGCAAATTCTCTGCCAAAACAAACTTGCCTCGGCGCACTGTTTCGCTGATTTCGAACATTTCGAAGGTTTAGTTAGCGACAGGTTGAGGCTCGGGCCGTCTTCTGAACATCAAAGTGCGGTTGTACAAGAATTGTTCGGCTAGAAGCTTGCTCTGCACAGCAAGCGTTGCCCATGTTGCATGTTGAGGCCCTCGTCTTACAGCCTTCAAGAGTCGCGCCTCCCTCGGCGCAAAAGCGATTCCTTCAGCGCGGATGTTCAAGCCCGTTCAATTGGGTTGCCAAAGAAGCCACATTTGAATCACGCTGCGTGCGCTCATTCTAAGAGCGCGGCAAACGCACTGACGTTTCAGCTTCGCCCAGCAGGCCAAGCCATTGCGGTGCCAGGGGTCCTGGCTTTGCGAGGACCTGTGTCTCGCTGCGGTTTGACTCCCCCCAAGCTGCTAGCACTAAAACCAACCCTTAGAGGGGATGACAGCTGAAATTTCCTTGCCGGGTGAAAAACTTGAAGTCTCTTTGTTGCGTTGCGAGGCGAGGCAAGTCTTGCGCCGCTGCGTGAACTGGTTTCACGCTGCAACAAGGAACATGACCCTATTGAACATGGAAGCCCTTGAACGGAACACTGTTCTTCCTGCCCATGACACCATGAGTCAACAAGTAAGCGCTGTCCAAATCCATCTCTCCACCAGCGCAAAGCCACCTTGCTCTCGTGTTTGCGTTTCTTTCCAAGGCCCGTGCTCCTTCCTCACTTCGCCTGCCCGACGGAGGCAGCTCTGGCCTCAGAGACTGTCAAAGCTGTGCCAGTCACTCATTGCACGCCACGTTGATGCAAACAGGGGGCTACCGAGGCAATCTATGTTGCAAGGCGGGCCGGTGTGGGTTTTAAGTGCGCCGTTTGGCCAACGTATGTTTTGCGCAAGCATTGCCTGCGACATGGTATTTCTCAAACTCGGCAACCCCTCACGCAAAGAGGCCGGTCAAGGATGTGTGAAGACACACGCGCACACACACACACGGACGGGCAAACACAAATGCAAACACAGGCGCGCGCGTACCACAGGCCACGCACGCGTGACAGCTGCGCGCAAGCTAGCAGACAGCCACTTGCCCAATCGCACGGCCAAGCGGACGTCAGACATGGCCCCCAAGCAGGACGCGCCAGCTAAGCAGGCGAGACCGGCATCAACTCCAGCAAAGAAGGCGAGACCAGTGCCAGCGCTTAAATAGCACCTCATCGAAAGCAACATTAGCCGCGCCAGCGCCCTCATCGAAAGCAAAAGCAGCGCAAGCGCCGAAGCTCCGGCCACAGCACCGCCGCCGGCTCCGCCGCCGCGCGGCAGTAATAGAAGCCGCCAAGTCGATAGCGACAGAGGGAGTGACAGCAGAGGAGCCTTAAAGGCAAGTGTGGACAACGCTTGGGCTGTGCCGAAAACACCTCCGAAAGAAGCTCCAACGCCGCTTGGATTAGGTGGAGGTGAGCTGCAAAGGAGGAAGCCAGGCAGAGGAGGCGACGGCCAAGGCCAATCAGGAGGTACCTCAGATCATGATGCGGTTTGTCCAACTGTCTCGTTGATCTGGCCGTTCAATCTTTTGCGCTCTTCACTCAACTTCCCGATCTCCAGCATCTCGATTGTCCTATGCCTGAGAAGGCTGCTGTTTGCACCAACCGTTCTTTGGTCGGGAAGATTCGGCCAAGGCGTCTCGTCCATCAGGAAACTCCGTGATGGTTCCATCGTCAGTGTCGTCGTCCGACTCTTTTGGTGGTTTTCACGGTTCCGACCTTCTGCTGTTTCTCACATCTCTTCGCCGCTCTCACCTCCAAACATCTCCGGATCTTGCTCTCTTGGTTCTTCATCTGACGCCGCTGCTGTTGCCTCTGCGCTGCACTCCTCATCGATCTCAACCTCTTCATCTTCTTCGTCTGTTTCTTCTTCTTCCGACTCCTCTTCTCCTTCGCTTTCCGGCTCATCTTCCGAATCCTGTTCCTCATCTCCTTCAGACTCTGCGGATCCTCCGTAGTCTACTTCACTTCCATCTTCATCTTCATCTTCTTCCTCTTCAATCTTTTCCATGGGAGCTGGCTTTGCCTTTGACTTTGCCTTCAACACCACCTTAGCCTGTCTTGTCTGCAGCGTCAGGGTCGCGTAGGCCGCAGCGGCCTTGCGACACCTTTCTGCCATCATGACATGAAGAACAAGCATCATCCAGTCCTTCTCTTTCATAAACGGCTCTTCCTTCGCTCTGTCCTGTTTTGCGCCGCCATGAGCCGCTGTCGGTACCTGGAGATTGGCTCTTCTTGCCAGGTCCTGTCTTCTCCAGTTTTCCTCCCGTGGTCCTCAGCGGCTTCAAGGCGGGCCCTCCTCAGCCAACATCTGGGACTTCCCGCTCCGTCCTGGCCAACAGGGATTTGATCTCATCCATCATCCCTAGCGCCAAGTACATGGTTTCCTTCTCCGGCTAATCATCATTGTTGTCTTCAAAGCCGTCATCCCGTTCTTGCTCATCACCATCCTCAGTATTCTCGACGGCACCAACCTCGCTCTTGCCTTTGCCTTCTCATTCTTGCCTTTGCCATTGCCGAATCCGTTGCCTTTGGATGTGCTCTTCGGCATCCAGCAATCTTTCTGAAGATGACCGGGCTTCCCTCAGTTGAAGCAACTGCGAGACGCTTTTTTTTGGCCTGATCCTTGTCCTGAGCCAGCTCCGCCTTTGCCAGTGCCGGTAGCCTGGCCTTTCTTTCCTTTGTTCTTGCCTTTGCCTTTTCCACGTTTACTGAATGCTCCGACATCCATAGCGTCCGGGTCTTTTACCCCTTCGTACTTGAGCTTGATGCCCTGCCTAGTTTCTAGGTAGAGCTGCAACTCTTCCCAGACATGCTCAGACGAATCGAGAGGCGAACGACTCAACTGCAAATGTCTTTCAACTTCAACCGGGCACATGCTCTCCAAGATGGAAATCTTAACATCTTCAGGCAACTCCTGTCTGTTTTTTCTACTGTCTTTGCGTTCTTCATATCTTCGTACTAGGTCCATCCCTGATTCAATTCCAGCAGATAATTCTTCTCACTTCAGCTTGGGGGGCGCCAACACATGTCTCAATAGGGATTTCCGTGAACCGCCCGTTGCTGGGTCGTACCTCCTATTGAATTTCCTCCATGCCTCAAGGCCGTTTCCGCTTGTCGTATTCCATGCTGAAAGCCTCGCCTTCCATCAGGCTCTGCGTCACAGCGTGCAACTGCGCTGCCTTGTCCTCTATCCTATCTCGTCAGCCGCGCCTGTACCGAAGCGGTTGGTGATATCAGCCAACGAGATTTGCGCATCTTGGTCTTCAGCCCAGGCTAATTAACGCTTGTTCCATCTCCGGGAACACACTGAAAATGAACGCTTCCGTTCTGATTCCATTTCAAGTAGTGTGCTTCATCCCCCAATTGTCAAGCGATCACCTCTATTGTCGATTCTGCAATCGCCGTCAGTGCCGGAAGCGCCCTCGCCTGTTGCAGCTTTGGCTGCAAACCTTGCACCGTTTGTGCCAGGAGCTGGATTTGTGCTTGAGGCTGTTCCGGTGTTGCCATGGCTTGCCTTCCTCCACTAGACCGGAACCAAGGGCTCCGCTACCATGATGAAAATCTATCGGCAGAAACCCTTTTCACTGATGGCTTGAGCCAAACATCCATTCGATGCCTGGCATGTCTCTGCATATGGCGAACGTGGTTTCTGAACACTTTTGGTTTTGCTCCAACCACCGTACCAAAAGGAAACCCATATTGTTGAGAAACTCCCACAAAGCAGAGAGCGCAATGGGACAACGACAAAAATGCAACGTTCTCGCCTTTGCCTTCCTGACCACTCCCCAAGCCATTTTGCTCGCGAGTCCTCAGCAGTTGTGAAGTTGTCTGACACCACCTCCGGGCGGTCAATGCTTGAAAACTGAAAGGTCCTCAATTCCCCAAGAGGTGGCCTTCGTCTCACTCAGTCAAGGTAAAAACTGGGATGTTAAACCAATCCAAAGCTTTTGGCATCGGTTTTGGATCGGTCGCCGGGTTGGGGTCTCCACTTCGAAGAATGCCACTATGGAGATCTCTGCCATGGGCAGAGAGGGTCACCAACTTGTTTCAATATGCCTCTCTCACTGACGATTCAACAATTTGTTGTGGGCTGGATCAGGCTCTGAAAAAGCGTGGATCGCCGCCGAGCCAATGGGAGAAACAACAGAGGGCCTGCTGAGGTTTCATTTGAGTCCAAGCAAGGGAGAGAGGATGCCCATCTAATCGGTACAGAACCGGTACAGAACTGTTAAAAGCGATTTCACAATTCTGCTCACAAAGCGTGCTCTGGTTGCCTTCACGGATATGCCCACAAACCCAAGTGCTCACCGCCGCGGCAAGCGCAGGGCATATGGAAACCAAAGAGCAGCCCGGGGGTCAAGGGGAATTATACCCAATGTTACATATAGGCATCCTCTAAATCTGCTTAGCCTTGGCAAGTAATGTGTGTTTGCACGTATTATAATATATATATATATGTATGTATATATGTGTGTGTGTGTCAAGCAATTAGCATGTAGTGCCGGTGTGAAGATACGAGCGTTTCCTCTTCAGGGCCAGCCGTCTCAGGAATCCGCCCTCACCCAACTTCGTACATGTTGAGGTAAGGCCTAGGGTTGTCTTCAGATAGGGCATCTCAATAAAATAACTTCCCCTTTGGTTTCCCTCAAACCATTCCAAAAGGGTACCATGAAAAGGTTCCCCTAAGGGTCGAAATGAGTCCCTTTGAAACCGCGGCAAAACGCCACCTTCAAAACCGATACAGCCATCTTTCGACGCCGCCTCCAATCCTCCAAGGTCCTCCCAGCAGCAGCGCTCCCAAGTGAAGGGCTCCGCAAAGCAGGCAGCAGACGTTCCCGCGCAGCAGCTCTCCTGCTGATCAGTCGCCTTAGTCTCTCAAGGTAGGACTCGTTCACATAAAATTGTCGATGTTCGTTTAGACTTCCTCTGTTTAAACCATGTCGTTGGTTGTTGTTTTCGCGGCTGGCAGCAGCATGAGTACACTGTCCCGCCTGCTGAGTTGCACAGGGACTTGACTTAGATGGGTATCGCTTGACAAAAGCCGTTATTCGAAGACACAACTGAGAGGGGGCGCGATCCCTTCTGAGAAACTCCCAGCTGAAGCGCCGGACTTTCCGTGTGGAACATTTCCACCCCCACTCAAATCATGGAACCGAAAGGTCCAGAAACAGGGGCGAAGGTGTCATGTCTGGGTTTCGTGTTTTTGTGTTGGGAGTCGGGGGGAACCATAGAAGCTGGTGACTATGTGGGGTTTCGGCTATAAGGCAGCAATCCCTCTGACATCCAAAATACCCGAGCAACACTCCCTCACGAACCCTTGGGTCTTGGTTCGACTGGCCTCATTTGATCAAAGCCATCCGGTTCAATGACCCCGGTTGCCTTCGACATCTTGCTGGTGCTCATAAGGATTCCCTTGAAGGAAACAAAGGGATGTTTTTCCATTCCCTGTTGAGAACCAGTTAATCCCTGAAACAAACAACATAATGAGCCCAGCTCCAAAAACTCTTTTCCCAGAAGTCATCCCTGTGCGAACCCCTTGGGGATTTCTTTGGGTGGCAGGCTGCTCTCCTACAGGAGAAGAGGGAGTTTTCGTGCAATTGCCCAAGTCAGCAAGCCAATAGGTCAAACCCAACTCAAAACTTGCCAATTGGAACAATCAAACCAATCGAATCAAAGCCAATAACCAACCCATCGCACCAGGCCCTTGAAGGGAGCCAGGCACTGCACCTGGCTCCCAACCAAACAAAAAAAACGTGTCACGGCCCATGATAGGGTTAGTCTACGGGCTAAGAAAATATAGGAAAGCCCCTTCGATCCAACGCCTGTCCCTTGCGGCGAAGGGCCGGATCGAAGCAGGCAGAGGCATGCAGTCGGATGGGCCCCAGCCCATGCGTCACAAGGTCCTCCGCCGTGGATGTTGACCCCCAATGGTTGAACCTTCTGGGAAAGCCCTTCGCAACAGAAAAACCAAACTCTGCGACTGCATGTGGGGATTGATCTCTATTCCTGGCACATCCTGGCCGCAAAATGACCACGGGTAACTCTCCCGTTTGAGAAAGTGTTCTTTCTTGTGGTTTCCCTGATGGTCATCCCATGTAAAGGACCTGTTGATCCAACCCCCATGTGCCCACCTTTTCTTGGTGCTGAACATGGGGAACCTCCGCATGTTCGTAAAGAATGCCAGCATGCAGCTAGCGCTAACTAACTCTATATGGGCGAAGACTCTTGTATTGTTGGTTGGTTGTGTGCAATCATTCAGAAATTCAACCACTTACCTTCAGGAAAGCTGCTCCTGGAGCTTGCAGGCCTTGGAGGGAAATAACACGATTGCTAGTCCCGATGGGAAGGTAGCAACTGGGTGTTAAGACCGGTCATAAGCAAATATAATCCCTGCATGAAAATGATACATGTGACTTTGGCCTGGTAGCTTTTTGGGCCTGGCATGGATTGGAAGGGGCATGCTTTGATCTTTCCATGTCCACTGTGACTAGGGGATCCCGAAGAACGTTTGGCTTCATCTTGGTTTACCTATCGCTGAAGAAGGGCTCCCTAAAACCCAACACCGCCCTGCGTTTCTAACCCGTCACGGGCATATGATGGGACATGATCTTTCTTGTCCAAACCGACAGCAAACTACCAGTCGAAGCAAAATTGGGACCCATGTTCTCCCAAGACTAAGCATAGATTACCAGCCGCTCCTTGTGTTGTCAAATAACGAAAACAAAAAAGGGCACTTAGGGTAACATGAGCGAATAGAAGGGTGGTCCTCACCCAGCCAACATTCAACTTTCTTGGGAAAATTGGGTGGCGACCCAGGGTGGCCTGTTTTGATTTGTGCAGGGTAGTTAAGTCTATGGCAATGGAGCCCTACGAATCATAGTCTCACATCTGGAAAACATGCCACAATTCCGAGACCTAACAGAATTGGATCCCCATGTAAAGGACCTACATGACTTTGCTGGTTTCACCCTCAGGTGCCGCCATAAAATCATCTCTGCCCAGCGTCCGGCAGGCTTGGCAGCCCAAGGCCAAATCTCAGGTGGGGCAAAAGCACGGCGCCCCGCACGCCGTACACGCCGAGGCCTAAAGAAAGGACGGGGCAAATATGCCGTGTGTGTCAAAATAGGTGGACCGAAAAATATGTTGGATCCTTCTGTCCATTTAAGCTATCCCAAAATGGGTACCCTCGGAACAAACACCCCATGTTTCCGAATAGAATGACCCTACAAATGGTGGTTTTCCTGTTGGTTTCCCATGAAACGAACCTAAAAAGGGTACCCTCAAACAACACACGCCCGACGAAAGGAGGGACCCTACTTTGGGGTCCTCTTCCCAAAAAAGGGTCCCCACGAGAAAAAAAAACATCAGGGCACAAACCAGGGTTTCGAAGCCGTACTGCATGTTGAGGCGATTGAACCGTACACCAGCGGCAGCAACCCAATCACTTGTCGATGTCATAGAACACGCCAGATCACGGCATTTGCTCTAAGCCCCGACAATTGATCGATCATGGGACGCCGAAATTGGGTATCCCTAAACCAGATTCAACAAACACACGTGTTTCATGTCAGTTACACTGGGGAGTATTATTTTTCCCGGCATGCCGAAAGTCTGCCAACTCAGACAAGATGCAGGCGACGCTGGCGCCCAGCAAAACCATCCGATGCCCATCTCAAGTCAGATGCGGAAATACCAAGAAGGGTCCGATGGCCAAGGAACCAAATGTGACGTAATTCAACGCTATGGGAATTGGTCCATGAACGCTAACACCTGCACAGCCATATAAGATGAACAACACCCATTGCGGAACGAAAAAGGCAAAGGGGCGGTGATTGAAGAGAAAACAGCGGTGTCTCCCTGAGGCTCAAGGCCTCCCCCATAAGAATCGTCCCCACTTCAACTCTCCGGGAGTTGATTGCGGCTCCCTTTGAGAGCCAGGCTTCGGAAAACCGCTCAATCGGCTTGGGCCAGCGACGGATGTCTGATGTGCAAAGCGCCAAGCAAGAAACTCCAATGGTGGCAAATCTGGGGTAAACCAACACCAATGAGTTGTCATTCTGGTTCTTCAACGTCGAGAACATCATCCTATCCCGCTATTGGGCTCTTGACATATCTTTTACTCCTTGGAGTCAATGGGGGCTTGTCTTTACACCTCTCGTCCCCAAGACCTGATTTGAGCGCTCGGAGAAATCCGAGCAGCAACATGGAGCTATCTATGACAAGCTTCAGACGGTCCAAATCGCGCTTCTCCCATTTTGAGCTATGCTTACAAGCTACTCCCTCGTGCAAGTCATGGCCCAATGTTGTTGTGCAAATAGATAGAGATGTCTATAGTGCTTAATGCGTGTCCATCTGCAATATCTCAGAATCCAAGTTACGCTGCAACAGAACTCAGTAAAAAACACTCTCATCTCAGTCTGGGCCAGTAACTGGATGCCTACAGGAACAAGCACACCCATGTTTGCCGCTGCTAATTTGGGCAAAAATGTAACGGTGACCAGTTCCTGTTCATGTCCTGTGAGGAAACACACACACACACACTGCACTGAACTCCAAAGTGGGAACCTTGCTTTAAACACATGCGTGCACACACACACACACACACACACACACACACACACACACACACACACACACACACACACACACACACACACACACACACACACACACACACACACACGCACGCACGCACGCACGCACGCACGCACGCACACGCACACGCACACACACGCACACACACACGCACACGCACACACACACGCACACACACACGCACACACACACACACACACACACACACACACACACACACACACACACACACACACACACACACACACACACACACACACACACACACGCACACGCACACGCGCCACGCCCACACGCCACGCACTCACGCGCACGCGCACGCGCACGCGCACGCGCACGCGCACGCGCACGCGCACGCGCACGCGCACGCGCACACGCACACGCACACGCACACGCACACCCACACACACACACACACACACACACACACACACACACACACACTACATACGCATTACACATTACATGTATATATACATAGATATATTTTCAACCATGAACTATTGACCACTAGGTCTTCCGGCCTGACGTGGGCCACCGAGTCTGCGATGCGATGCTGGACCACGGTATGGACCTTCAGAGCAAATGGAACTGGGAAATTGAATCGAGAACTGGACATCTTGGATCTTGGATGAATTTCAAATCCAGAAGATCTAAATCCTGGAGATATATTTTTCTAGCTGGCAGCTCCCTGAACCCCTGAACCCCAAATTTCGCGGAAGAGCTTTCTAGAAATCTTGGGCCCAGGTAGACCTTCCTGCTGAACTTGAGTCAATCATGCAGCCAAATGGGGTTACGCCAGGCAGGGGTTCCATATTGTGTATGTTATATATATATATATGTATATTAATATATGTATATATGTATGTATGTATGTATGCTACATGTATAGCATACATGTATGGATATCATAAGCAGGGTAGGTTGCCTTAGCTGCACGGTTGCCACAGGGGCAATATGTTGATAAGTCTGTTCGATTTGGGGAACCAAGCAAACGAAAAGGAAGCAAGGACTGTTCTTTCTTGATAACTGGGAAGTGATTCTCACTTGCTCAGTGGAGTGGCCGACATATAGTCCGAAGTTTGTGTCTGCCACTAAAACAGTCCTCCAAAAAAGTATCAAGTCCATGAGCGATCCATGAGTGAGGATTGAGGGCCCAGGGACTGGTGGCAACTGGAGCGAATTATTGCTTGGATCACCCCGCCCCTTGAGCATTCCAAATGCAGCCGGGAAGCCGCGAGGTTGTGGTAACAAACGGCCAAGAGAGAAGACACTGGCGCGTCGCTCAGCTTGTTGAGAGCCTGGTCGAGAGAGATGCAAAGTGGGAGGGATGGTAAGGCTCTGATGCGCCAAGCTTCAACAGCCAAACTAACCAGCTCTGAGATGTTTGAAAACGCTGGGGGTGTCCAATTTAACCATCCCCTGTAAAGGGACGATCTGCTTGAACAAGCGCTCCTGGAAGGTCCCTTGGAAAATAAAAGGAATTGAAGCACACAAACACAAAAGAGCATGCAACAAGCCAATGTGCCGGCAACAAAGCCTTCCAATGTTGCTTCAAGCAAAAACACACCGCGGAATCGTCTATGCAAGCCACAGATCCAAGGAACTCATCCAGTGGCTGAACAACTTCGCTGGGCAAGCTCAGGGGTAGCGGAGAGGGTTGAAGACGTTTGTGTTGACGGGCAATTTCTTCCTGAAACAACTTTGAAGCGCGTGACCGAGAGAAAGATAAAGGGGAATAGTGTCATCAACATACAATTGTATCAATCCATCAAAGGAAGAAGAGACACAACAAGCACACATGCTGAAATTGTCAGCTCAATTTGTGTGGGACACAACATAAATTCTTTCAATCTGCTGAATCCTCGCCTTTTCCCCTCCCCTCATAGCCTGCTGCGTGTAGTACTCGGCTTCAGACTTGCTGCCCTGCAAGTGCAGCACTGCAGCCGCGCGCAAGCAGCACCTCGGTGACTCAGAACAAATCTGTCGAATCTATCAAATGTCAGGCGTCGTTGGGTTGCACTGTCACGAAAGCCACTTGGAAGCCAACTGATTCCTCTGTCCCAATGGGTCAAACCGCTAACCGACAGCCAACGTGCGGGAAGTGGAGATGCGCGGAGAGCCGTGGAAAATGGCTGTTTCATCTGTGTTTAATGGACCTCCATTCAGATTTCAAGTTGAAGGGAGAGCATATTGACTTTTGGCTCGTTGGTGCCCGTATCTGGCCGTTGCCAAGGCCATGGCTTGCAGTATCTGTTGATGTGCCCCAAGCGCAGGTACCGCTCGGACGCCTTGCGCAACAAAACACCCCTCTTGGGCGGAGACACAACACAGCACACGTAGCCCTAGCCAAGCTGACTAAGTTGTTACCGCTCTGACGCATGGTATGAATTTGAGAGACCCTCTGGTGGACATCATTGAGGAGGGGGTTCATGTTCACAAACCACTGTTAAGGTGGTTCTGTACTCAATCTCATGGCCACATGTTTTTGGCTTGTCCGTCTTGGATACAACAGCACACCCTCGCACGAGGCGAATCAGCAAACGGCAAGCTCATGTCCACATGTTGATCAGCATGAAGGCCTGCAGGGTTGGGCGAAGCCCTGGTCCAAAAAGTATTAAAGGGGGCAATCGTCTGGTTGTTTGAACAACCCTGAATTGGGTGACTCGCAATGCTCAATGGGCTCCAACAAATGGGTTTCCTTTGGATGCTACATACATGATTGTCTATTGGTGCAATCTGAGGACGCGTTCAACGGGTCCCGTGACCGGCCGGCATTCAATTCCCCGGTGCGACGTTTCCGATGCCTGTTGGAAGAAGGACTGGGAGCGGTCTGCCAGAGTCACGTCATTGGGCATGTAGTAGCACACGCTGAGAGCGGTGTCCTTCGTAAGTCCGTCGACTTCACTCTTACGCCTCATAGGCCTAAGGGCCAACTCGCATACTCCACATGGACATACCCCAAAATTAGTGGTTATATACATACAAGGCCTGTACTAGGGGTATGTCCATTTGGGTATGTAAATTTGCCCTTAGACTAGGGGGACGCCCTATGAAAGAATCCCCAGGTTGAAAGTGAAAAACCAGCCTTGGATCTTTAGGGCTCGCCATCCTCAAAAGCTTGGCTGCCTGGCTTCGTTGTTGGGAAGGGCAAGGGCTTTTTGACTACTGTTGTCCTCTCAATAAAGCCAAAGACCATCCAAAGAGCCGATTGCGGGACGCAAAGGACCATCTGAGGCACTGGCAAACAAGTATGCCTGGCGCGCACGGCGGTTCTTCAACAGCCAGAGGACAAATTTTTAACTAGGGACCCTTTGGCTGACCATTTGGGCGGGCAAATCAGTCTGTGAGTTGGCAAGAGTTAAAAAGCCAGGAACCCGCGCCGCACAGGATGAAATTTGTTTGTTATACGGCATTTACATCAAAGGATGCGAATATGAGCTGTGCTCCAAAACAAAATGCGTAATTGGCTTGTTCACATAGGAATCGGGACTCCATGCTATCCCATGTTGAATTGGCCAAGGGGTGTGGGGTGGGTGGGGTGGGGGTGGGGGTGGGGTTGTGCACTGCTAAGATGAAACACATGCACACCGTGTCTGGCGCGCTGCTTCTTTGGTCAACAAATGATGCTTCCCGATCCACCAGCGTCATGCGAGCCACCAACTACTCAAGCTGGGAGTGGGCAGTTGGCTGCTGCACAAATCCCATCCCAAGCATCCACAGGGTCAGAGTACTGGCGAGGACCCCTTCATTCCCTTAAGAACATCCGGAGGTACTTGGACCCTCTGGGAAAATGACACGACTCTCCCACAATCTGGGGTTCTCTTCTTCCCCTGACTGCGCCATCCCTGTGGCCTGCCGCAAATGCTCTCCACTTTGGTTTCTCTGCAAAATGGGCCGAGCCCCAAATTGCGCAGTTTCCTTTGAGTTCCTCAACAACCCAACAAAGATATCCATTTCCGCTGCACAAATGGGCTATGAAAACCCCAAAATTACCCGTGCATTGCCACGGGTAAGAAGGATCATAGAGATACTCCACGCACCAATCTGCCCCCTCCCCAACAAAACTACAAAAACCACCACCACCACACGCAGATGTCAGAGCAGGGCAAAAGTCTCTGCCTCCAGCACCGTGCGGTGTCCAGGATGGAGATCCCGCAGTGACAGGGACATGTTGTCCAACACCTCCCAGGGCATTTTGTTCCGTCAGAAAATGGCTGTGCTCTTTCTGGGGGAAGAGAGGGAAGGGAACCTGGATTTATTCAGACACAGAAAAGGACGACAAGCAAAAAGCAAAGGGCTGGCTATATTCATTGGGAGTTAGGGATGTTGAGACTGCAGGCAACATTTTGAGTCCCGCTGGAGACATCAATCCCACCTAAGAGCCCCAATGATTTGAGCAACCTATCACCTAAGATCAAGAATAATAGCAATGGGAAATTGCAACCAGAGCCAGAACTCTCCCTCCCCCATCAACATCTGCAAATTGATTGCAAGCCATACTCGGCAAGTGCTCGACAGACATCTCCGTTCACGTTTCGGTTGTGCAATGGCCGGAGCTCGGACAAAATACTAATACATACCGAAAGGCTCAAGAGTCTAGGGCTCCTGCTCGCGGCAAACCAAAGAGACCTTCTTCATCCATGACAAATTGTTACATCGCAAAGCAAACCGTGGGATAATTTGTATTTATATGTATGTGCTTCTTAAATGTGTATACGGGAGAAGTTGGTTGAAAGGGACACAAAAAACAAAAAAAACACATCCGTGTTTATCATACTTATTTACTTATTTTTCTTTTTTCTGGGGGGGGAGATGTTGCTGCAAGAAACAAATCCATATTGCAAGCGAAAACTGCCAGCTCGCTCCGTCCTGCGTGATGAGCTTCACGGCCACGCTGCCCTGCTGGTTCTTCAGGCAAAGGCCGCTGTAGCCAACGATCAGCTGCAGGACCTCAGCGACGCATCGCCGAATCGCCGTGCGAAGGGAGTCGAAGGCGTGCAAAAATACAGCTGAAGCTGAATAGGGTGCGAAACAGGGGGTCCGGAAACACCAAGAACATGGATTTATCCGTCCCCCTTGTTGGTTCCTTGAGAGAAATACACTTGTGTGCTAGGGGATAGCAACATTGGGGTGCTATTTAGCACTCAGTTGAATCAACTTCATTCACAAATCAATGCGCATGCCTTGGGGAGGGCCCGCAACATCTGATCTTGGTTGCTCGCAACAACCTGACAAATGCATCAGCACCATGGCAAGGAACTTAACGTGGCCTGTCGTCCAGTAATTCCATTCACCAATTTGCCAGCAATGGATAGTGCAGTAGAGCATAGTATCTTGTGGTATGGCATAGCATAGCATAGCATAGTGTAGTGTAGTATAACACAATAGAACAGAATAGCGCAGTGCAGTGTGGACAGCACAGTATAGTAGGAATCGAAAGGAACCCGTCAGAGGAAAAGGAGGAGGGGAGAGTGCGTGGGCGAGCATTAGCACATGAATGTTGGTTTTCTGCTCTTGATGAATGTTTCGAATACTCCTTCTCTTTGTTTGTTCCTTTCATTCTTTTCTTTCCTTATACGTCTCTGCTTTTTGGCTTTCATGCTTGCTTCTTTGTTGGGCTCTGTTTTGTTTTGGCCTGTTGGCTTGTTGGTTAGTTAGCTGGCTGATTGGCTTGTTGGTTGGTTTGGCCACCAAAGCGCAAGCAAACGAGAAAACACACACACAAGCATAACTGAGATTTCCTGCTTTTCGCTCTCGGTGTCCCCGACAGTTTCCACCAGCAAGGGCTTGCCACTGACCATGGTCGCCGGGCTCAGCACGTTGAGGCTCCTCCCCACTCCAGTTTGAATTTTGGTTGGGACTCGTTGGACACGGGCACTTTTCTGTATCCCCACTAGCCACTTGCAACGGCCTCTTCCGATGCCCATCATCCACATCATCTTCCACCTCTCCCTAAAGACACGCAACCCGTTTTAGGCCCCAGTAACCGTCCCAAACGCGCGTAATTCCCGAAACAACTCGGCTCCCGGGGGTGGCAGACTCCAGGAGCTTGATGCAGGCCGAGTACCTCAAGTTTTTGGAGCTATGCGCACATGCGTAACGCACATGCCGGGGATCTCAGCTTGCTTCCCGAAGAGGCCCAGGGTACACAGTGGGTTCGTGAAGGGCAAGGGCAACGTTTGAATGGAATGAAGCAACTTTTTCATCCCAATGGGTTTTGCTCAATTTCAGCTGTTCACAGTCGAGGGACAAGCCCTGAGAGCAATGACAAATGAACATGAGAAAAGGGTCATCCCTTAGTATGGCAGAAACCTTTTATGCCATACCAGGAAGAACCTGGAAGATGGAGTGCCTGATTGACACATATAGGATAATTATCTTGCGGACCAAATGACTCTTGCAAAACCGACGTTTGAGAGTCCACCCAAACAAGGGTCACTGGCCCTGCTTCTCAAAGTCGATGTACTGCTGCAGCACCCGCTGCGGCAGAAGCTGCAACACCTGTGACACCAAATCAAACAAAACACACGGGCTGTGGCATGCATTCAACTTCCCTGTCATCATGGGGGGGGGGGTTTGGCAGCCAGGGCTGAGGATGGTTTTGGACGGAACGCTTCGTGGATTAATCTCTGATGGCAGCTGCACCGTATGGAAGTCAACATCGTTGATATATATGTATGTATCCATTGTACACATGTATATATATATATATATTATGTATACTCCTTAATTAGATATTCAATTGGTCGCCCGCGCCTGTTTAGGGCTACCTCGACGGAACAAACATCAGAACTATAAGGTATTTTGCACCTGGGAACTTGGTTACTCGACTTTGCACCTTCGACCGTTCTCGGAAATGACTGTTTCCCAAGCAAACAAGTGGAGCCACGGTTTACGGGCGCAAATGCCCAAGGTAGGCGGGAGAGAATTGCTTCCCCTGTTGATCCTGGATTCAACCATAGGAGATGCCCCAAGGACGAAGGCCAGGGGACAGGATTGGGCCCAAGCTTTTTCGGATTTTGAAATTTGTTTAAGCCCACCCTTCTTTAAACAACCTTCGCTTGATTTCCCTTGACAAGGTGGAACTTGTTGTTTTCCACCTCCGTTTTGCCAAGGGACGCCCAGCCCGGACTTCTCTCTTTCGATTTGTTTCTCCGTGCCTTGGCGCGGTAGGCGGCGAAGCGGTGAGCTTTGATGGGCAGCCAAATGGGCTTGCACCTGGCAAGGCTCAGACGGGATGCCTCCGCTGAGCAGGTGCAATCGGGGGCTGCCTTTTGAAACCATCCCAAAATGAAGCTCACTTCATAAGAGGCACAACTACAAACGCACAAACAAAAATTGCATCCCCACCCCCGACAAAAACAAAAAGACAGTCTGCTTGTTTTCTTGCTTCCCTTTCCCGCCACGCCCAAAGGGTAGCAACTCAAGAACAAGTACGAATACCTTCAGCAATGCTATTGGCTCAATGGTGTCTCAAAATAACAGTTGGTGAAACACAAAGGTGGGGTCAACCCATAGCAATTTCAAAGCTACATCGCATCAAATCGAACATCTCAGTACAACGTGGACACCTAGTGGTCAGTTGGCAAAAAGCCTTGCAATGGTTGGATGCCGGGTTCTGCACGTGCGTCCAGAAAATAGTGCGCTGCAAGCCTGAAGCATCCCAAGTGAAGTACCTACAAACCTGTCATCCACCCCAGATCCCAGTTCCCACAGTATAGCCAACGTCCCTTGCTCTAGTTGGTCTCCTGCTGGTACAGGGTGTGCTAAATGGGGGGCCTGGCAGAAAAAACCTACCCGTCCCCCTGTTGGTTTCCATGGAGTATTTTTTGGCACATTTGAGTGTGTCCTTCTTTAAAGGTATCCCCCTTTGAAGATTGTTTTACATGGAAAACAGTAGGACACCACCAAATTTGGTTCCGATTCCTACCTTGAGACAAACCAATTCTTGGTTGCTGTTGACCCGGGTCCAATCCGGCAAATCACAGCTGTTTCAACCAAAAAGTTAGTGTCTAAAGTCCGCTACCAAATGGGCATAAAGGTTGTACTTAGGAGTTATTTGGGCGTCTCCTCTTCAAATTGGGGGGAAGCCCCATGCGAAAATGCTCGGTCTCCGCTCCCGAGCAGGCATCCAATGGAACAAACGTCCTGCGACTCGCCTTGTGAGGCAGAAGTTGGTGTCCAGCTTCGGCCGCCTCGCAAGGCCGCGACACGCCGGAAGGCTGCTCCACGATATGACATGTGCTGTCGTCTGAATAGATAAATAATACTTAATCAATGGATGGATGGATGGATGGATGGATGGATGGATGGATGGATGGACGGACAGACGGACGCAATGAATGCATGAATGAATGAACAAATTACTTAATGAGATAGCAAATTACTGAGATAATGAATCAGTGTATGCATTAATGAACCAATGAGTGAATGGAATTGAATGGAATGGGACGGATGCATGAAGGACCAAACAAACAAATGAACGAATGACTAAATACACGACATGAACAACGAACACACGATAACTAAATGAGTGCATTAATACAATAAATGCTAACCAATAAATATGTACATAAATAAACAACTGAACGCATACATGTTTACGCAAAACAACAAACAAACAAACAAACAAACAAACAAACAAACAAACAGCCTACCAACCAACTAACCAACCAACCAACCAACCAACCAACCAACCAACCAACCAAGGAAACAAACAACATACACAAGCCGAATGAATTCTCATATGAGCACGAGATTAAATACCCAAATCCATATAAACATGTAAATTGGGAATAAAATATGCTGATTGATGTATGATTTCAAACAACCTATATGTATGGCTGGTGTACTTGAATTGGTTGGGCATAAACTGATTCTCTCCAGTCCTTGATTGGACAAAACAATACTCTGACGGTTCAAAGGACACAATTTGAATAACTACCAAATCCTCTGGAAAAATAAGAGCTTTTCAGCTTGTCTTGACGTCTGAGTGGCCACTGTCCCCACTTCAAAGGTTGGCTTGGGAAACAACGCCAGGCAACATCGGGATGTGTCGTATGAGCATGTCACATGTCGATGCGTACTGCATCGTGCTCATGGAGTTTTCCCACCTGAACAACTTCGCAAACGCAGCTGTTGAATCTGCCCAAGTGCAAGTCTTTCACCTTGCCCCTTCTACTTGGGCCTTGGGTGCTCTTTTGTTTGTTCAACCCTTTGCTAAAATATGGCAACTCAAACATACCGCCCAACCCTGCTAGAAACAAAAGCAACGCCTTACAAGACGCACTTCTACCATCAGTGTTTGTGCTTTTTTACAGACAGGTGCTAGGCAGTCCGCGTTGTGTTGCCAACAGCCTTTTAAGAGACCATCTCTGCAGCCTAGACGGCTTTGGCTCAATGCTTGCGTTTTCCCCCAGCTAATGGCTGTGTTGCTGAAGCGGGAGCATTGCAATCCACGAATCACCTAGCCCTTTTCACTACACTTTCCAGTCGTTTCCCCTTTGGGTGGTGTTAAACATCTCCCTTTGGACCAATGTCCAGTGATTTTCTTCTTGGTGATGTTCAAAGGGCACAAATAGCGAGCCCTGCACACCAACCACACAATGATATACACTGCTTTCAGGGCTGCGTCTCTGGTCAACATTGAAGCCACAGTCCGTGAGCTGAGGCCAGCTCTGCTTAGCTGGCGTGGATGACGTTCCTGGCCTGCTGCCTAGCCAACTGGACACAGCAGGTTTGTTCCGGGAGAAAAAGAAAGACCCATGGAACCTTCTTAGAAGTTCTTGGAGAGGGCTAGGGGGCCCGCTGGAACAACGCTTTGAACCCTGCTAGAAGTTCTTGGAGGGGTTTGAGGGCTAGGTGGTCCTAATCTGTGTCTCTCATGCTTGCTACGGCCGTAAAGGTCTACACAAGTGCGCACCCGGTCAAACCTCATCCCCGGCAAGGGTCAGCAGTTCAAGCAGCTCAAGCAGCTCTCACTTGTACATTGCAACAGCTGGAGGGTGCCTCCCACGCTTCACCGAGAAAACATGAGAGCTACCCCTTTTGGGGATGGTTTTCAAGGGACATTTGTTGTGGGCTGCACTTTGTGGGGTGGTTGCAAGGTGGTTTTCAGGGGGAAACCCCGGGAAAAACCACATGTCTGTTGTCTTCTGCGGGGTCCCCACACACGCCCGCCATGTCTTCGATGAGCCATGAGCAGATCTCCAAGCCCGGGAGGTGATTGGGGAGGCTGCTGATACTGTGGGGTGGACGGAATCCACTTCGCACCGCATAAGAAACACGGGGAATCATTCGATTCCCCTCCAAAAACCAACGAACAACGTTTCCCATGGTTTCAAAGTGGTGCAGGATTGCGTCATCCACAGTATGGGTGTCCTCTTTTTTTTCTGTTGGGTACCCGCAAAATGGTTGGTGTCCCTCTTGGCTTCCCTTCAAAACGCCACAGAAGGGGGGGGTCCTCTAAACGGTCCCAAAATAAAAGGACCCGAGGAGAGCTCACGTTGGTTTCGCCTTAAACCATTCAAAACAAAACAGTAGCCTCAAACAAACACACACATAAAATTCTGAGGACCACGCCTCGAGTCTCTGAAGACAATACTACCCCCCCCAAAAAAATCACAAAGAACCTGACAAAAGGTCCCTTTAAAGGGAAACTGGTCTTCCAGGAACCTCCCCTGTCAGGTTCCATGTTAATTGGTGGGAGGGTGAATCAAATGGAAACTCAACTGATTTGGATCTCAATATATCATTTATCTCCCTGTTGACCTGAATGGACCCCACCGTACTAATCGCAGGCGGACGTTACCCTACCCAATTTTGAAATGGCAAATAAAAACGAATAGCAGCCGCCCCTTCCATAGTTTCTTTCTCTTGCTTAACACCCACCAAAGAGTAGATCACGCCGTCAGAATCCCTGTGCCGTCGCAAAAAAGGCAGAGGCGAGACTGCTAGGAATGAAGTAGCTCTTTCAAAGAAATGTGCCAGTGGTTTTGCTGCTTGACTGAGCTTGGCTCTTCAACCCCGACAATTCCGCCCGTGCCGCATCTTGACAATTGATCATACTCACCAAATTCGAAACTTGGCCCACATCTGAGGCGCATACAAATGGAATGCTCTGATTATGTCTTTTTCCGTCGATGAGAAACCCGACTGCTGGGATTTCCACGTGAGCGTCGCGCAGCGCCGGTTCGGTGCAGCGAGCGTCTCTTTTTTGAAACCCGAAGCTTGCCATCGGCCGACCGACTGCTCCGCATGTGCCCGGCGCCTGTTCCGCCGTGGCCAAGCCATCCTCAGCATTCGCTATCTGCTGAACGTACTGGCATGTCAATCATTTCTTCGCCATGTGGCCAAACAAATGAACCAACTGGGCGTTGAGGATCACATGGCGCATGTGGAAATCAACTGGGCGAATTGAAAACCTGGGGCCCTTGCACCCAGAGTAATTCAAGAGATAGGCGTTGCTGCCGACTTGTTGTAAGCAGCAGAATTCGAACGAACATGTGCCTAAAACCCCAGCACTCCTATATCCGCTCTCAATGAATGCTGCGGCCCAACATAGTGGTGAACGTATCCAAGCAAGTCAGCAGCAATTCCAAAGACAACCAAATCACTGACACCAACATTGCCAGTAGGCAATGGTATGCCAGGTCTCAAAATTCCTGTGAAACCTCCCGTAGGGTAAGCTTTGCTCTCCAAACAAAGCGGAAGCGCTCTATGCACATACTGAACGGCGGGTTGGGCTTTCCACTCTTTTGGCTTGCTGAACAACATGTTTGCTTGAAACTTGCTTTGTGTCTTGTGTGAAAGAAACAAACAGCTCATGTCAAAAGGTTGTTGTCTGCAGCAGTTTCGCTCAACCCGCGGCACCAGCTTCATCTCACTCCCGGTCAGAGATGAGCTGGCACGCGGCGAGTATGCGGTGAATATCCGAACGCAGCGATGTTCAAACGGGCCCAAAGGGAAATATATGGACCCCAAAGGCTTGTGAAGGTCACGCCAAAGCCCGCAGCAAACTGGGTGGAACCACCCACTCAAGTGGTCGAAAGTGGTAGGAAAGCACGATCATCAAGCTGCACTTGAATTCAATGAAACCCTACCGCACCTCGGAATAAGGCAGAAGCTACCCTCATCTGGGCTGTCCCCAGATCCCAGGCAAAAAGCTTATCTTTTAGTGGGTTAAATGGACACCACAAAACCAACCAAAAACCAGCAAACAACCCCAAGGAACCGCCAATTCCTATGTTTGTTTTGGTACATCAACCGCTAGGGGTCACCAGGCAAGCAGCCAAGCCTTCACCAAATCATTTTCTCACTCCGAGCAACCGGCGCAAATCAGGTGAGCAACAAATGGTGCGCCAACAATGGGTTGGTTTCCTTTGGCTCTCCCCCCAAGAAAAGTTGGGTTCGTTTGGGGTTCCCCAAACGATGGTTGGTTTCGTTTGCAAAAGGGACCACCATTTGGAGCCCAGGTGGCATAGCCCGCACCCCCCTGGAATCTCCAGAACCCTCTCTGAAAGCTGCTCCGAACCAACAAGATGCTGTTTTTTGACAAACCCTGGACCTGGGCCGATCTGTGGGCTTGGTTCACTCCATAGACCTGAGGGCTCCGCAATGGCCTGAAATCTGAAATGCTGCGCTCAGTTTTGGGCCTGCAAAGGCCATGCCGCTCAGCTTGTGCGCGGCTTTTTCCTCTTCCTGAGCGGAGCTAGAACATGGACAGCAAGAATGGCAGGAATGTCCGCATGTATTGCACCCACGCGCCGACGCGAGTCAAGCGTGTTGATGGTCGATTTCACGTTGGAATCCTTCACATCCCGGCATGACAGGAATTGACTTTTTGAAGACTTAGCTGGTGCTTGACTGTTTCGAATTGCTGTTGCTTGGGTAATTTCTCAGACTTGGGGTGACTGCCTTTAAACGTGTGCACTTGAATCGGACAAATGATCTTCCCTTGCTTCCAAAGGGCTCTCAGGTCGAATGACTTCATATAATCTTGCCCACAAATCATATCGGGGTTCCTGAATAAAACGCATGGCCACGCTAGGTTCCAACCCACTCCGTGAGCACGGAAGGGCAAGGGTTGGGCTCCCGCGCTGCTCCTCATCGATGCTGGCCTGACGGACGTTTGGCTCCCTCCCTGAAAGCGGTCTTAGGAAAACGGTGCTATGAGGATCCACAACACTTGTGGGCCCAAGGCAGAACAAAGACCGCTGGATGTGAAGTCTCTGAAAAGGCAAATCCTCCAATTGCTCAAAAATGCAACGCTTCCAGTAGGGATGGATTCCCAACAAAGGACAATTAAACATATGCTTATGCAATTGGAATACATCAAATCGGAAGAAACAACCTGCGAAGCCAGGCTGCGCTGGGGAAACACACGCTGAAACATGTCGCCTGAAGCTGCAAAGCCTGAAGCGAAACCGTGGTCAGATTCAAAGCGAGGGCCTCACGTGTTTGTTTCTAGCCACTGACACTTCCTGCAAGCTGTCTCAACGGGGTAAGTCTCAATCTCGGTAGGCGAATCAATTCATGAAGGGCACAGTTTGGGCGGCTTTCCTGAGCCCTTGAAGGCTCACGTACACTTTTTCAGGCTACCGCGTTCCCGAGAAGAACCTCTCCCGAGTCCTTCCTTCCCGCCTCCAAGGCACTTCTGACCTCCTGGGCAAGCTGCTGGGAAATACACCGGGCAAAATTGATGCTTGTCCGATATGTTTGTATACATGGGCTGGTCTTCAAACAGGGGAACCCCCAAATGGTGGTTGCTTTGGTTTCCCTTTAAAACCGCTCTTTCAAGGGGAACAGAAACAACAACGCCCCCAAATGTGTATTTGTTCTTCCTCAACCAGCAAGCGTGGGTGTCACACAAAACGTAAGCCTTGTTGGATGATTTTACAGGGAGACCAAAAGCAAACCAACCACCAAGGCGGGTCCCTGGTTTTAAGAAACACTATTATGCGGGTTTGGCATGTTGCACACCTCCTCGGCTGTCAAGGCTTGGGGTGGGCTTCACACAAATATTGGTTCATTTTTCTGGACGCTTTCTTGGTCGATCGAAGGATATGTTGGCTCATGTTGGTTTTGAAAACAACCCAACAGCCAAACTCAGTTGGCTGTGCATCCACGTTAGACTGTTGCTTTTGAATCGGCCCAACTTTGGCTCTGTCCAAAGTAAAAGCTAAGCTCAAATAAGACCTTTCGATGGTTGAACAAAAATAACATTACAAATTAAATAGTTTAAGGGGCGATTGGGACCCACCAAAGACCAGCCTTTCAAACTAAGTCTGCCGTCCTGGCCTTGCTGCTGTGCGCCAGCATCTGCGCCGCTAACTTCCCCACGCAGTCCACGGAGCAGGCGAGGCCTGCTCGCTGAACTGGACCATCGACCCAAACAGCGCGACGCCAGCGTGTTCTTTCCCGAAACAGTGGTCAACTCACATCAAATGGGAGCACACTGCCTCTTGCCGTTCCCTAATCGTCGCAATTGTTCTCTAGTTTGCTGGCTCTCCAAGTCACCTAGAATCAAGGGGCTCACAGCCTCAGCTGTAATTTGCCCTCTCAGCGGCTGGCTGTTGCCCGGTCTGAGCACCCCGCCAGACGTCTTCCTTGGAACGAGAATCAAGCGGAACCGAAGGCTTGAGGCCTCTTTGGGCTTGGCGAAGTGAAGGGACCGAGTGGACTCAGCCCCAGACTCTCCCGCTATTCTCTACCAAT